AACAGAGTGCCCGAAGACCCAAACATGGCAAAGCAATTATGCCCCTTGGCTGCTGGCTGGAAAGGCCCGTGGTGAGCTCACCTGCTCACCTGGCCCACCCCATCCGTGATGAACCGCCCCATTCCGCTTAGGGAGCGCTTCAGAAGCACGCCTTCTTCCAGAAACTCGACTGGAGCAACCTGGCCTCCATGGCGCCACCCTATGTCCCTGGCAGCTCCTACCAGGAGAACTTCAGTGCGAGCCAAATGGACCTCCATCAGTGTTTCACCCAGGACTGACAAGCTGCCGAGCGCAGAGGTTCCAGTGCTTTGAGATTTTCATCCTCCTCCTCCTCCTCCTCATCATCACTTCTTCTTCTTCTTCTTCACTTGGCCGACCCCCTTGATCGCCCCTTCCGTCCCCCTTCTCTTGGGCGCCGCGGCGCAGCCAACGCCGCGGCAGCGGCTTTTCGCCGCCACGCCCCCACCGAAACGCAGGACCTGGACAAGAGCTGGTCCCCCCGCTTCGACTGGTCGGTGCACTTCGGCGAGATGATGCCGATGGACGATTTGCCCCACGTGGAATGAGACCCCCGACGACCGGACGACCGTGGCCAGTGAGTTTGTTGGCCTCCCCGCCTCCAGGGCGGCCCCCCCCCCAGCCACTGTGACGACCAGGTTGGATGAAAGATGATGAAAGTAAATCAGCGGAATCCGTTCGTGACAGTGACCGATGAAGACATGGATCCGCACTGTTTCTGGGAGTCTAGCAGTTTATCGTATATAATAGATGCTTTGGGACCATACAGATGTAAATCTCATGCCAACTCCTAGAATCCCTAAGCGGAACATTTACAGGTACACCAAGATCACAAAGACTGTCCCAATTGCGATGACTATCGATGACTATTTGGATTGCTGTCGGCATGCTGTGAAGGAAGGGATAGGGGACCGCCCTGAAATCATGCCCATGGCATTGTCGGTGGGTGGGCCGCATCGACGGCAAAAGAGAACATGGAATGAAAGCACGTGAGCGATTGAAGGAGTTGCCATCTTGAGCATGACTTTCCCGCTTGCTCGTCACATGCTAAGAGGTGTAGCAGCTGAATGTTTCTATTCACTGGACTTCTGTGCATACAAGAGCAGCTGGATGATTCTTTGGGGGGGGCTGTCGCTCCCGTTGGTTGGGAACTTGATGTTCTTCTTTTATGCCTCGTCGTGGGCCATCCTTCTTTCCGTTCCTTTTTTTTGGGGGTGCTTGCCATCTTCCTCGGTGTACACACACACACACATGCCCCGAGGGCAAAGTCCACGGGGCGCTTTCGCGCGCGCTCGCACGCGGCCTGGTGGACTGAGCAGTCCATACAAAAAAGCGTCCGAATGGTGGTGGATCGAGCAGACGAAAAAACGGTGGCCCTGAAGCTATTTGGACAATTTTGGATCGATGAGTCCTCAATTTGTGGCCCTGAAATCCAGTTTCAGCTTGATGTTAGATCTGCTCCACTGGTGACCTTTCCACAGAACCAATTCAGGTGGTGACCGTGCCCCGCACGTCGCGCGTATAGGGTGCCACAGCGTGGTGCCAGAGCGTGCCGCGTTTCGGCCTCCTGTTCCTGAATCCTTTCTTTGGTGGCGTGAACGTCAATTTATAAGTATAATATTGAATATTACTGTTGGGCGTGTTTTTATGGCACTCAGACAATGAATGACGTTTTCTTTTAATAGCCATCCTGGAGTAGATAGAATATGAACCAACCCAAAGGCTATATACCGATCTCCGACCCCCGATTTTTGGAAGTCTCAATTTCTTTCTGGACTCTAGAGGTCGACACTTTCGGAGCAGCCCGAGCAGCCCTGGCCGAAGCAGCTCGCCAGGCACTACTCGATGCGGACAAGGCGTTGAAATTGGCGCCGCATTGGGCCCGGCTGTACCAGCGGCCCAGTGCTGGGGGTTCTTCTGAGTGTTGGCGGGCAAAGGGTGAAATCCATCTAGAATTCGATCAACTAGGACACTGTAAATAGCAAAGACTGCAGCAAAGACGGGTGTTTCCGATCTTGCAGAATAGTGATTGGCGCCACCGACAATGACATGCAATTATTGGACATCTGCAGGCCAACCGCTACTCAACAAACCATGACGTTGAGGGCCCAGTTCTTGAGGATCTGGTCTTTCCACGGCGTAGGATGTCGGCGGACTTGAAGAAACGGACTTGAAGCCAACTCGTGGGTCATACGCTCCTTGAAAGAAGTGGAAAAGCGGCTTCCCAGCAACACAGGACCTTCCGAGGAACATGATTTCCCACTTCCATGACAATGATGACTTGATGACCAATGAATTCACTTTGACGATTCCCAAAGGGCCCCGGCCCACGGCTTCTGCTAGGCTTTTTCTTGGGTACCGCTGGACCATTTCCGTCTGCCCGGGCATGAGACAAACCGGGCATCCATTTTTTTGGGGGTTGACCATTGGCATCGGCATGCATCCGCTTTCCGTGCCTTTATGATCCTTTAGGTGCGCCGGCTGGGCAGTTACTGTGGCTCAAACATCCCCAAAGTCGCAGCTGACGCTGAGCGTTTGACCTCCGGAGGATGCCGCCGGGCGTTTTTTAGGTGGAGGTGAAGATGTATGAACACACTTACGAGGGGTATGGACATATAAAACATGAATAGAACATATCATCGCGAAACAGTTGTGGTTTGGCAAGCCCCCGGAAGAGCGGTGGACAGGAGAAGCCAGATGGATACCAGCCATCAGATCCATCAGTAACAGCCATCAGCTTCGTAATTGGAGGCAAAAAGTACCGGTGTCCTCCCCTTATTGAAACCTCCAGGGCCAGGCGTAGTGGAACCAACTTGAAGGATTTAAGACTTGTTCTTGTGAAATGCCAGCCCGACATACAAGTTTTTATCGATGAACCTCCGAACTGTAGCTTCAGCGATGTCTCGAAGCTGGTCCGGTCTAGTGAAGCTTCACTTAACCCCAGCATTCAGTCAAGTGCTTCAATCGTTGTCCCCCAATGGGTGTGGCTCCCCTTTCTTTCTCTCGGTGGGGAGAAGTGTTGACGGAGCTCAAAACATGCCGGATATTGACATCATGGCCGCAACGGCCATACAAGTGGACTGGCGCAACTCATAGGAATGAGGGAAACCTTCCCCCCTAAGGCATGGATCGTAAGAGGTCAATTCCTCATTCTCTACAGTCAGCGGGGCCCACTGGTCCGGGGAGGTCTGTTCCGGGCGGGGCTTCACCAAGGCCGAAGGGCAAGGATGTGCAGCAAGACAAGCAGCAGACCGATGCGGCAGCTCATTTGCGACTGATGCCGGAGCATGCGGGAGGCAACGAAGCCACTGGTAAAAAATGTAAAAGCAAAGCCCGTGCTTTGACTAAATCGATTTGTTAGAAAACATAAAAAATCTGGTTCAGTTTCTGCTGTTTGATTATTTCCCACCACCCAAATCGGCAAAACTTCAAAGAGGTTCCTCTCTGAAACCATGAAGATGAAGGCCTTGGATACACTTTCCTGCCAATGGGGCGGCGCTGTTGAGGACCTTGCTTGACACAGAAAGGCCGCCACATGTTGAAGCCTGAAGCCACACCTTAAGGCTTGAAGTCTTGAAGCATTCCTTGGATCAACCTAAGTGATTTCTTGAGATCCAAGAAGCCGAGTTGATGGATGTCCCACTACGATGTCAAGCACGCCATGAATGATGCAAGTGACGGCAGGGGGCCGACAGGAGACACATGAAGCAGAATAGAACTTCCAAATTGCCTGCACTGCGAGGACAATGGGCTTTAGGTGTTTTCTGGCATCCCGACCCCCCTACTTGGTCTCAAAGAAACGTTTCCCAAAGAAGACAGGGATCTTCGTCTCATATCCCCTTATCCATTTGTGTTCCGATCTCCCCTGGACTGCCCATCACAAGACGACCCTGAACTATATATATATGCAGGAAATCTCTTGTCGATGGCCGAGTAAGAGAGGGCCGGTAGGGTCTAGTGGTCAACACGGGACACTACCCCGCTCCTGCAGTTAAGCGGATGAGCTGCGGTGTGGACCGTCAAACGGAAAAAAGGCGGCCTTACGACGCAGATGGAAGTTGCACCTAGACTCAGGCCACCGAGCCAAGCAACAGGCCAACCCACCCAACCCACCCACCATTACCATCCACTCAAGCCCCCCCCCCTTACAGCGCCAGGAGTTTCCACCTCGTAGCCTCGCATGGCTACTTAGGCCATGCCCATTGATGACCTTGCCAAGACGCGCGGCCAAACCTCCGGTCCTGGGGTGGGGGCTGTCTTGTGTTAGATAGCCTATTGGATGACCCGGTCGTCGAAGCTCCTTGCAGTCTGTGAGGGAAGCGATGCGGAAAGCACCTCTGTGTGGCCCAGGAGCTTTTGGGTGGATGAGCCTCTCAAGAGTAGGTATAGAAATGGGATGAGGCTCTCAGGCAGGAGGTGCGGACCAAAAAGATGGGAGCTTTTAAAACAGCAAAGGACGTCTCAAAAGAGTTGGACTCTTTTGTGGCGGATTTATGCAGCAAGTGACTGGATAGATGGCAGAACCACACTGTTCTAACGCAGGCAGATAAAAGCATTTCATTTCGGAACAATTTGCAATTTTATATCTGAGGCCCTCGAACCTCACTACTTAACCGCTCCGCACCATGGCATAGGCCACTTCTCCTCCTTCCGCGACCGGGCAAACACTGCGCCGGCACTGGGGTCAGTTGGAACGACCTGAGGCAATACAAGACCGACCTGAAGAAGGGCCTTTCCAACCAAAAGGCCGCGGCCCCTCGGCTCAACGCAGCGATGCCTTTTGAAGAAGCGCTCGCTTGGGAGCGCTTTTAGCGGGCGAAAAGGGCCGAGAGAGAGAGAGAGAGAGAATATGTTGGAGCCAAGATGGGTGCATTGTTGGTGAATCAATGCGGGAAGTTTGGCAGAATCAGGAGATCCTGGAGCGAGACGGGCTCAATGAGCTGGAGAAGCCGCCGAAGCCCACATTGCTTTTGCTTTTCCTCATGCAGCGTCTCGCCGCACAGGGCTCACTGGTCCCGCGGGGTGTTCTTGTGGGTGTGGAGCCCGGGTCCAGAAGCAGTTGCGGGTGATGAGCATTATTAGATATAGTGATATAGTATTGATTATATAATTGTTTGATCAATTATTTTGGCATTGTGTGCTTGTTCTGTGTAGTGGTCTTTGTGTGGATGCCAAGATGCCAATGGGTGCCCCATGGAGAAGTGCAGGGGAACTGGAATTTGGACCCTTCAGGGATGGCTAGCTCATGCTAGAACACATGGGACGAGATGGGATGGTCAACATCATCCGTGTTTAGCCTGGCTTCCTCCCTTGTGGCCAGGCTTACCAGCTTCATTATCATTTTGCTCATGATCTCTGCCATCGCGTCCATTCTGGTGAATGCGACTGGCCCCAAGGCGGCCGACCCTCTCTCCTACACCACAGGCACCGATGCTGACCGACGTGTTCGACCGAGGCATCGCTTCGACGGGACGTCAGGGGATCCGAACGGTGCTGGACGTCAGGGAAGAGGAACTGAATTCGCAAGGCCAAGAGACTGGCGCGTTTGCGCAGAGAACGGTTTGATCGACCATGTGCCTTTGATTGATAGTCCTGCCAGAGGACCAACAAAATGTTCACTGCTTGAAAAGGAATACACTTGTGTGCTCCTAAAGAGGTCGTTTGCAGCATCAGATCCATGGGTCCATTCTAGACGCGTTTCTTTTGACAACCTCACTTTATCATACCTGACTTCACCCCGCTTGGGTCAGAAAACATTCAGCCCGTTGGGAGGCTGCCCAAGAGGGACTGCATGGCACCATGCTGGGGCTCTTTTGTGAAGACCTGCAGGGTTCAGCAAGACAAATCAATTGGTGTTGAGAGTAGACAGAACCTTGTCCAGATATATCCAGACCTAAAATGCCTCATGAGTCTCGTATTCATCTGACCCATGATTCCATGATTATTTAAACCAACAAGAAAATTCAAGAAAACGGATGCATGTTCACGTGCGATTGCTCCAACCGTTGGCAGAATCAACCTTTCTCCACCCCCCTTCTGCAACAAACACTGCCAGTGGACAGGCATCGCCATTGCTTCTCAGCTGCACATCCGCCTCGGCGACCGCGTACCGTCTGCCTCCACGACGGCGTCGTGTGGACGGCAGTAGACCGGGCCGTGGGGGACCAGCAGCGCTTGGACTGCCTGGTGCGGCCAGTCCAGGGAATGGATCTATTGAGCCGAATTTGTCCGTCCCTACTTTCGAAAAAACCAGTCTGTTGCTTGGCTTGCTCTCTTGGCTGGTGAATGCTGGTGATGTTTGTTTAGTGGCCTTCCTGTTTGGCTCATCCTTGCCTTTTACTTATACTTTTCTTCCTTAGCTGCTGGTCGGCTGCCGCATGACATGCTGCCACCAAACAGAGCAATCACAACACATGGCAGAAGCTAGATGCCAAGCAAAGCAGGACACAATCCCTAATAAACAACCAAGTTTTTTTTGGGGGCACAAGCAGGCAAAGTTACAAGGTGCCCCGCAGATTTTGCTTTCAAATGCGACTGGACCAGCTGCCCACTGAAAAAAGGGGGTTGTCTTTGCCAAGGTGGCGAAGTGTTTTGAGTCCACCCTGGTCGGCTTTTTGTTCTTTGACCATCTCATCTCCACTGGTCAGAATACCGTTTTGGTTCTTTCATGCCGCGTCCGCTTCCGCCACTGCATGGCCACTGCGTGTTGGCCTGAGGGCATTATTGTGCTGATCAATGCGGGTATCGCAGCGTGGACGGAAAGCAAGGCTGGCGACGCACTGGAGGCGTCGCTTCGGATGCATGGGCGGCGTGGGCGTACGTCGGGGGCATTCGCTCGTCTGACCGGGACGTACCGGGCGCGCGGGCGGTCCGTCCCGGTCATATGGTTTGATCCACGTGGACTCGACGTAGACTCCATGTATATAGACCCATCCAAGGGCCCAGTTTTCATCGCATCCACCCAAGGAGCTGGAATGGTTTGGACAATGACTTCCTGAACGCCCAGTGGAATCTTGCGTATTGCGATAGTTTGAGAAATGGTTTGGGGAAATGTGTCCCAGTAACCAGAACCACTTCATTATATAATGGCTGACTGGATCCATCGGCCTCGGCAGAACCTGGAGGGGCACCATCCCAATCCCACCATGACCGGGACACTTCTCTGAGAATGACCGGGATCACCTTCGGGACACCTTATAGAGGATGACCAGGACACAATAGAACTAACATGGAAGTGGAACATGGCCCCTTGGAAGACCATTTTCATCTATAAACCAGGGTGTTTTCCACTTCCATGTTAGTTCCAGGGAGTTCAAACCATGACCGAGACAAAATTATCCAACGTATGACCGGGACACCAGACATCCATGACGATATGGACGACATATTGACACCCATCCAGGTACACAGGGCGCCCACACCATGGCCGTGACTCCGTTACACAGGACACCCACTGTGCCACGGTTCCCGTTGGCCAAAGCCTCGCGATCGAGGGTTCCGCTCAGCTGAGGCTGTCGAAGATGACACAGGCCAACATCTACGTGCCATGTCTGAAGCGTCTCATATGGGGAAACCATGACACCAGACTCATCTATTCTCAAGTTCTTTTTGACCAAAAAGAAACACGGTTCTTTTTCACCGATCTTGAGTATTTAATCGCCCCTTGCTGTGTCTGCACCATTGTCTGGCATGCGGCGTGGGAACTCTTTTTTTTGGCATGACCTATTTGTTAAGTTGTCCAGATAAGGTTTGGGTCTGGGCGTTGGGAAAGAACATGGGAGGAGTGTCACCAAGTAACAACAAGCACTCCATTTTTGGCTCCTTGTATACATTTTTCAACTCCATCCAGTTGGGGATACAGAATGCCGGCATCATTTTTGTTGTACTTTCCAGGGTGCCCCATTGCGAAAGCACTGAACTCTGAACAGATTGGTGGCCCAACCATCCAGCACCAGGCCAAAAACAAGTAACCAAATAACATTATAAATTATATATAGAGATTCATTAAGGCCAAATTATATCAAATTATAAGGTATTATAAGAACACAACGATCAGACCGATTCATACTGGGCCAAATGTCCAGTTGCCACGCACCGCTCCGAGCTCTTCCCCCATGCATCCACCATGAAGGAGCTCGGACCGGACCCCCACATGCCACGGGGCGCGGCTTTCGAGGTGCTCCGCGATGGGAAGGAAGTGCAAGTGGCCGTGCCCACAGTGGTGGCCGGCGACATTGTGCCTTGCTGCGACCAGAGTGACGACAGAGCTGGGTGGGGAGTTAGGAGGAGAAGGTTAGAGAGAGAGAGAAGATGTTGGAGACAAGATGGGTGGAGACCGGGAGTTTGGAAGGAAAGCTTCTGGAACTGCTTCTGGATAGTACAAGTGTTACTCCTTCTTTGCAAGCCCATCGCCAGCATCCTCGACTCAAACGGGGTCGATGGATCACCATGCTCTTTTTCCTCTTCCAAACCTTGTACAGTAGCAAACTCAATATATAATATATATATATATAGATGGCACACAAACCCCACCAACTCATCCAGCATCTAACCCAGCTCTCCCAAGCACTACGAAAATCCCTTAGTGGCTGTCGAAAGTCAAAGAACGTCACAGCCACAACACAAATCCCCGTCAAAGGGGGAGTCTTTCAATGGAAGCAACTCAACGTCCTTCCCATTGAAACTTAACGTTCTTTCATTGGATGGGTGTGACGCTGTATTGTGTTTCATAGGGGCTCCAATCTGTCGACGTCCGTCCTTTTTCTGCCTCATGGCCTCACTCAGGTGGTCTTAGGGACTGGCGATGTGGTGCCTGCGGACCTGCGCCTCTTTGAAGCTAAGGACCCGGTGCCCGGTCCTTCCGGGAGACGCGGAGATGGGCCTCGCACAACGTCGGCTCGGCCGCGTTTTTGTACGGCACGAAGCATGGAGACCCAGAGGAAGCCCAGAGCGCTCGCGAATTTCGTGAGATGAACTCAGTGCGAGCGTGTCGTCCCTTTGAATGGTTCCAGGGCATAGCAGCCCGGATAGCACATCTACAGTAAGGGATTTCAAGAGCCCGTTAAGCAACACATTCAAGTCTGAGGACACCTCTTTCCAGCCCGATGTGGTCTCTTCATGTTGCAGTTCTTCAACCAAAAAGCAAAGAGACCAATAGATTCGCTTTGGATTTGACGGGAATCGTATATAATATAATATACCTCCTGGAAATTTAAAGACTATTTTTTGACGCCACCGAAGTGGAGGACATTCCTTGTCGGGTCACCTTGGAGGACCATTTTTGAAATCGTCTTCGACTTTACTTCGACTTCATGTCTAGTAAGTTGGGTGTTCTTTCGGCCTCTTCAGTTCTCAGGTGTTCTTTCTGTGGGTCTGCCGAGGACCTAGAGGCCACGCATCAAATCTTAACACTTCTATTTGTGCCTCTAGGTCCTAGAGGTGTCAGCAGCTTCAACTGGTGGGGGGCTTGTATAATCTGGATGCGTTCCATTCCCGTGGTTTGGGGGATGCTCCAGGACTTCAAGGTGAGTGAGATGGCCCTGACAGGCAGGGTGAAGATGCTGATGGATAGCATCAGCACTTTGGTGATGTTTTTGTTGTTGATTCCAGTCGTTTCGTGTGGTTTCATTTGCTCCAGCTTTTGTTCTATTAGCAGTGCAGCATGTTTTGTTCCGCCGGGGCTGGATCATCGATCCTGATGAGCTTCCATCACCTAGACCTAGCAGGGGGACCCTGCAGGGCCAGAGAGGACAGAAGTATGGTGTCCTAGTATTAGATCTATATTTGTACCTCTCATCTTCCGCATCGGGGCTTTTTCCCTCTCTGCGCGGCTCGAGCGGGACCGCCGGAGCGGGACTCAAGAGCTCCGGGTCGCTGTCGCCATGTGCATCTTTTGTGAGAAGGCGAAGAGTGACTTTGGCGAAGGTGGAGGAGGTCGCTGAGGTCGAGGTGGGTCTTAAAGACCCACCTGCGTGTGCACTGAAAAGACTGCAGTCCATCATCCGCTGTTTGCCGGAACGGGTCTTATTCGTCTTGGCATTGGTTCCTATCAACCTATCATCATCATCGTCATCGTCATCATCATCATCATCATCATCATCATCATCATCATCATCATCCACTGTGGTGCTGGTGGGCGAAGGTTGTGGCAACCATTCAGTCTTGCATGTGTTTCTTGATTTCTCTTGAGGCCGATGTGTTCGACAAGAATGATTGTTGGGTAGGCAAGTCAGACCTGCAAGCAAGCTGAGAAGCAGGTAGGCAGGAAGGCAGGCGTTGATGGACATTTTGGAATTACAGTAAATGAATTAAAGCAGTACGGTGGAGAAGACGCCACGCCAATTCGGGGCTCTTCCGCATGGTCTGTGGGAGCCTTTCATACAGTATATATATATAATATATATATAAGATATTTTTACATGGCAGAGAGAGAGAGAGAGTGAGTGGGTGAGAGGCTTACTTACTCCCAGACCTGCATTCCCAAGATGGCCTAATGGACCCGCCCACTTTGGACTCCCTAGACTTCACAAATGGTGGGAAGTGCGAGCTGGATGGCACCCAGGTGAGCTGAGTGAGCTCACTCCGGAGCAGAAGCGCCAGGCAGAGGACACGTTCGAACGCTGCAGATGCCAGCCCCGAAGTCCATCCAACAGACCTTAAAAGAATAACCGTTTTTTCGACGGCTTAGAATTTTGGAGGGGATTCCGCCAGATCTCACTTTTTCGGACGATTCTTGGAAGTCTCGCAAAATGATTATGTGCCTGAATGCAAACCAGTGCCAACATCAGCTGGCATGCTGTTTTGGTACTCAAATCGTATACTTTGGAGGTAGTGTTCTGAAGAGCCTCCCTGCTTTGATTCATACCCGGAGTGTGTGCAGCTCGAGTTCCAGGAGTGCGTGCAGCTCCAAGAGCAGCGCATTCCTGCGACGATTCTGACTGGCTTCCTGGGTGCGGGCAAGACGACCTTTCTGCCGCTAGGCCGCTGTGGTCAGGGAGTGAGGGAGCTGAGAATAACAGGAGATTCGGGTTTTTGGACGTGGAGATTGGTAGAAGGCAGCTTGAGGACTTCTTTGCTGCTACTGGGGGCCATTCTAGTGTTGGAGTCTGTTGGGTAGTTTTGGGGTGGTTGAGTACTTGTGTCGGTTCATGTGCAGCCTGGCTGCAGTCGCTTCATGTCCAACTGCAGCCTTCGGACAGCCTGTCCGAGTCCAAACTGAGCCTCAACGGGGTCGGGCCGACAGTCGAAGCGCCGGGCCGACGGCTGCAGAGCCCAGGAACTTCGTCTTGAAGAGTTTGGGCCACGGACGGCGCATCGCCGTGGTGCAAAACGAGTCACCAGACGAGTGAAGAGCTGCGGTTTGAGCGGTTGGTTGGACCAGAAAGGTGCAGACATGTTGTTTCAGAAAGGCTTCTTCCAAAAGCATCTACTGAAAGATGCTGAGAGTAATTGCATGTAATTGCTTCAAAGCACTTTTTTTTTCTTCCACATTTCTGAAGGGCATCTATTTTTCCAAGACTTCCGGGCCTCAGGTTCGGCAGCGTGCCCATTGACGATCAGCTGATGCTCTTGGAGAAGACGGCCTCGGAGACCATCGTGATGCCCAATGGCGCGGGGAAATCCCGTCGGGACGTTAGTTGCGGGTTCAGACGTTCAGACGTTCGCAAGTTGGTGTGGGAGACGAAGCCCTGACTGATCCAAGTTTGTTCCGTTCCAAAAAACCCTTATGGTTGGCCTCTGCTTCTAGATGTCTTTTCCAGAGCGAAGTGGAGGAACCTTCCACAATTGTATACAGTCTTTTTGGATCTTTTTGGGATGTTGGGATAGTCGCGAAGCATCGCGAAGCAACATGAGAGGATGTTCTCAATCTCCAGAGCACGGTGACCGCCTGAGATGTGTCCCCTTGGTGCCTGTGAGACTCAGAGACTGCCGGTGGCCCCCCGGTAGGCTGCCTTTGCTGCCGCGTGCGCGGTGACCTGGTGGACGCCTTGCGGCGCCTGGCCCACGACGACGGCGAGGCGAGGGGGGGAAGGTGGAGAGGTCTTCATGTATGTATGCATGTGTGTAATTAAGAATAATGCGTATATGTATGTATATATATTATATTGTATTATATTATATTGTATTATATTATGTTATGTTATGTTATGTTATGTTGTATTGTTATTTTTCATCATTCATTCTGTATATATATATATACATATAGAGGTATAGATGGATGCAAATAATCAGCAAATCTATTATGTGACTTCTTGCGACTTTCTACAATCCCGAACACTAGCATTGTCCCCCTCTCTTCCTGTCGGATATGGGGACAAATGACTCCCCTTTGCTTCAGCTTGAGCTCGCCCGCTCTGAATCAGAGACTCGAGTTCGGGGAGTGCAGGAGTCGCCCAAGAGGATGGACTGCTTGTTGGTGGAGTGCTCTGGGCTCTCAGAGGTCCTACCTGTGGCGCAGACCTTCTTCTCAGATGCCTTTGTGCAGGCTGATGCTGTACCTGTGGAGGGGCACCTACCGTGGCGGGGGTAGGCTTGAGTTGGCATTTGAAGATGGTTGCGGCCGAAAGTGGTATGTTGAGAAGTCGAGTTGATTCCAAGTCTGATCTCACCACCGGATTGCAGCGCTATACTCGCCATTACTCGCCTCACCGCTTCCCTCACCGCTTCCAGGCCTCCTTCCGCTTGGATAGTGTTTTATGCGTTTGCGATGTCTCCACTTTCGGTGAGCTGGAAGGGGATGCCGCTGGCGGCCGAGAGGTGGCACAACTGTTGCGTGAGCAGCTCGCCATCAGCGACGTGTGCCTGTTGAACAAGTGCGAGCCTTTGGCATCACAGTGGCGCGTCGAAGTGCCATGAAGATCATGAAGTGAGGGCACGGCGCGCCCGTTTGTTCTGGTGTATGTCATGACTTGTCATGGCCAAAAACGGCATTTGTGCTTCAGAGTTGAAGTTTGTTCTGGTGTATGTATAGTGATCCTCGAATAGATAGAAACGGTTTCCCCAGTTTTTATGGGGATCTACTTTTCTATCTATTTGGGTTCTCTATGGCCGACCCTTGGTGGGATACGAACCTGTTGATCCTAGGTCCTAGACCACCTGCTACCGCCACAGCAAGTCGCCACAGCGAGTCGCTCCGGGGAAATTGCCGGAAATCCGTGTGGCAACGCACCGATGAGATTGCCACATCTGAGCCACATTTTTTCAACCACATGCATTGTCCATCTGATGTCAGCGGTGAACAAGGGTTGACAGTGGACTACTGAGGAAGTGGACGACTGAATTAATTGTCCATGTTGATCATCATTTTGAAGTTATATTTCCCCAGATGTCAGAACCCAAGCTTCAATACCTCCCTTTCCACCGCTGGTCCCCGCTGGAACCGACGTCCTCGATCACTCAGGACCTCATTGACTCGTCCGCGCGGGACGCGGTGGTGCAGAGAGTGAAGTCGGTGAACCCGGGGACGAAGGTGGTGCCCTGCCGCCATGGCAAGGTGAACTTGAACCAGGTCCTCAAGGCGACGAAGTGTTGGTGTGAATGAACCGTGGGAGGAAAGGAAAACTATTTCTGAAAAGAGCGCGGGAGGTTGGGTCATTCGCATGGACATGAAAAGCTGATTTTGTTGGGGAATGTTAGGGGCTACCGCCCTGCAACAGGTAAAGGCTTGATGAGAAGGACCTTTTCTTCCTCCAAGCTGGGTGGGCCAGGCTAGGCTGTTGGTCAGATACTGACAGTTGCTGTCTCCTCCCTGAAAATCAAGATTGTGAATGGTGTCCGAACCAGCGTACTTAAGAGTTGAAGTGATCCCTGGGCTTATGACCCCGACATGTTTCCCAGAAGAAAAGGCACTCAATGCCACGAGCTCCATCGGTTCCTGGTTGAAACCTGCAGGTGAACTCCTTTTCATTGGATGGCGCCATCTCGCTGGACCATCACTTCTTAGGTGGCCACGGCCATGGCCACGGCCACGGTGGCCATGGGCACGCACATGCGTTGATGAGCAGCTTGGGCCTTGAGAGTCCCAAGAAAGTCCAACGAGAAGCGCTGGAAGAATGGCTCAAGTCCGTGGTGGAGCGACTAGGCCGCTCGGATGAAACATCATCAAGCCGGTTTCAGTATGTGTCTGGCCATCTCGAGAGAAGACTTGAAGTCTCTCAAACTTATAGATCTTATAAGTTGATTCATTAAACTTCTCAAGTTTAAAGTTAATTCTAAAACACAAGTTGATTCATCAAGAACCTTACAGTTTGATGAACTCTCAACCTTGCATTCATCAAACTGAACAGGCAAGTGGCCCCAACCTATACAGTTCTTCAGTGATGTGCCATCACTGCATTTTGCTCTGTTTTGTTTCCACATAGTTCCACCAACAACCCGATGAGGCACACCCCAAAAGCCTTTCCACCCAGTTCGACCCTGGCCGACCCGGAGCACCTCCCGACCTCCGCAGGCAATGACCTCCTCCGCCTGAAAGGTGTCCTCCTCACGGAGGGAGGCCGCCTGGTGGTCCAGGGCGTCGGTGGCCACATCGAGATCTCGGACCCCTCCGAGCGTGTCTCGGAGGGCGACGGCGACGGAGCCGCGGGCGCGAATGGAACTGCGGCCTCAAGCAGTGCACCAGCATCCTCGCGGCTGGTGCTGATCGGGCGTGTGGGGGAGGAGGCTCTGAGAAGGGAGCTGAAGGAAGGTTTTGAGAAGGTGGCGAGGCTTTGAAAAAGATGGGCATGCTGCATCTTGAGCGGAGGGAGGTGTGTGAGCAGCTGATCGACTTTCGAGTGAACGGCGCACTGGGTGTTTTGTAGGTTGAAGATGGACGGATCTCCCAAAGTGTGAATCCCGCTTGAACTAGAGTTGGAGAGTGCAACCTTTGCAAATGGTTCCACACTTGGATGAACGAAGGAGGACATACTGTAGGTAGGAGGACCATCAATTTTAGCTGAATCACACTTGTGACCCCCAGAGAAACCTCAAACCCTCTGACTCTGTACTTTCTGACTCTGACTCTGACTCACATGGAAGTGGTTTCCCCGCCGGTGTTTGGAAAGTCGTCTCCGACCAGCTTCTGTGGACTTTCCACTTCCATGGCTCACTGCTGATTGCTGTGGTTGTTTGTTCGTGCAACATACTTCAACAGGTTCAACCTGGACTGCTCAACCACCCCCCCTGAGTCCACCCATTGTGGACCGACCCCCTCCGCTGGACCGGGCCTGGCCGGGGGCATCGTGAAGGTGAGCCGGATGATGTGGCGAAGACCTCCAAGGTGAAGGAGAAGAAGGACGGTGCTCCAGAGAAGCGCCTCGGATCTCCACCAGTGGCTGACGGGGGGGCCACCCGTGGCCCCAGAAGAGTAGAAAAAGACAGGGTGCTGCAAGATGCCTGGGAATCGTTGGATATGAATGGATATGATGCATGTGCGAGGCAAGTTGGCTTTTCCTCCCTGAGCATTGGGGGTATGTAAAGAAGGACGCAGTTGCACCAGCTTGTTGATCCCGAAAGAGTGCAACAACTGCAAATCTATGAAAGCATCCATCCAACAATCCCGGGAAGAAAGGTTTCTATTTTGCGGAGCAGTTCCTTTGCATTCACTATTTATTTGCGCCATCAAAGTCGGTTGAACTCGTATCAAAGCGACGCCTTGTTTCTCCTGCTGGTGCCAGTGCTTCTCATACCCTTCCATCATCAAGATGGTTGCAACGCAATGGAACGATTGCTCTCAACAAGACTGATCTACAAAGGAACGGACACACTCAATTTTTTCCTGGTCATAGAGGGCTTCTTGGTAAATTGAGAGAAGGCGGCGGTCCAGGAGGATCTTTAGGAGTTTTGGCCTTATTTGGGTTAGAGACCACACATATCCTACACCTGCAACAGCAGCTGCACCTTTCAGCCCTACCATACAGAGCTACACACACACATATATATATATATAGTGATATATACTACTGTTGGTAGATAAGACATGATAAGACTCAGGACTGACAAGACTTGGTGAAACAGGTCCTCATTGTGTGCGCGCCGTGCTCGCCGTCGTGTGCTCGTCGTCCTCGTCATCGTCGCTTGGCCACCGTCCCGGTGGACGGTGCTGAGGCTGACCCCCGAGACCATGGCCTTCTCGGGCTGTAGCATCACCAGTGGTGTTGGCATGGGCTTGGTCACAGACACCGGAATGAGGACGCGTCGCTTGGCCCGTGGTGTGCCGGGGGGGGGGGGAATCCCCGGGCTTCCCGTCAATAGAAAGAAGTGAGCTTCATCATGTGCAGCTAAGCTTTTGCAGATAGGGTATGAGAAAGCAATCCAGCAATTGTATCATTCCCTTGGTGGGATGCACTTGGCATTTGGACGAATTCTGGAGGCTCCCCTTTGGAATAACCGAATAACTATGAATACCAACGATAAGCACGATGCTGCCAGCTTATACCAACTCAACTATGAACTATGAACATAATATGTTTTGCAAGTATGCAACAACTGGCATCAGTTTTTGGGCTCGTGGTTCACTCTATGATCTTGTGTGATTCAACATTTTCTCAGTCTATGACATTTAGGTATGCTCAAAGCCCACTAGTCAGTCACTAGTCCCTTGGCCAACTCAGTGGGATTAAAGCTGATCAGCACACCAATAAACCAAGGTGTACAGTATGGCGGATAGTCAGTCTGAAAAGACTATTTGCCAATGATTTCCCATTGATCATTTATCATGAGCTGCCCGTACCATGAGGCAATGATATGATTGCGACCTGTTCGTCTACTTTCCTAGGAGACCTTCAACTCAAGCACTCCATCATGCTTGCTAAGGCATCGGACGAATCGCCCAGCTCATCAATGGGGACGTGGCCCGGCTGATCCTTTGCGGTGACGCGGCCCCCCATCGAACCGCCGACACGGCTACAGCAGTGTGCAGAGATAGAATCGACTTCCAACCAAAAGACTTTACTTTAGATTCTCGTGCCACCGTGCCAGCAAGGTGGATCTGTGGGTGTGAATATGCTTGCTCAACACCAGGGGGTATATATAATAGGTTTCAGATCCTTCACAGCAGCAGCACGCTCCATGAACCATGCCATGTGACACTTAAAACATGGAGCTCGCACTCTTGCGCGCGAGACCGGAAAACCCATGAACCGATGTGTGTTTTGTGCGCACTGCGTGAGGCGAATCCGACGTCCGGTGCGCTGCACGTCGGTCCATCCATTGGATTCAGCTCGCACATCGTTCGGAGAGTCATCTCACAGGATCCGACTCTCGACCCTGCCCACCGAGCTAAGCTTGTTTGTAAGCCCGAAGCAGGAAGCAGAACCTCAAACATGTGACATGTCGCATCAAAACAGTCGGAGGGGTTCTACAGGGTTCTCGGAAGAGAATTGTGCACGATTGTGTACGTTTTTCCCCCCCCACTTTGAATCGCAGTCGCGAGGGTGCAACGACTCCCCTCAGACAAGCATGGAAGTTCCTGTGCACTTGTGGAAAAAATGTTCAGCTTGAAATGATTGCGGAAGGCAGGGTGCAAGACTCACCATGCTTTTTGGAGGACCCGGGCCATGACTCGTTTGCCCAGGGCGGGGCGAAGAAGACGACCTGCTTCTGCTTCCCGGACACCTCTGCGAACCAGACGCCCCTCCAGCAGAACCTCAACAAGCTGGGTGCCGCGGCCGCGGGGCACGTGCATCAGTGGACGGATCGTGCAGAGAAAGTGGGGGAAGAGTGGAGAAGTGGCTGGACAGCGAATCCTGAACCCAGCCAGTCAGGGACCTGACACTTCAGCTTCAAGCATTTTCCAAGGGGTAACCGACCAGGATCTACAAACACTGCGCCTGGTTTTGTGCTTCTGCTGCGGAAACCACCATCCACGTGCTTCAATGGAGTTCTGCTCGGTCTTCCAACAGATCTGGTCGGATGACTGGGATGGAAGCATGATGGAAGGACAATGAAGCACACGAACAGAACCGATGAGTAGGGATGTGGAGAAGTTTAGGGCGAGAGGTGGGCATCCTACTGAAGCTCGGCCTCCTCTTGATTTGGGTTCACTGGGGGTGATCAATGACTCCTTCATTCTTCTTGTCTTACACTTGTTTTGAAGCAACGGAAAGGTGAAGGCAGTCAAGGCCATGTCCCTACCCCCCAGAGAGAAAGAACAGACAGAAGTCACTGCTTTTTTTTGCTCCATCAGAAACGGGTGGTTGATCTCTCTCGCTCTCTTTGGGTGGTTGATCGACCCTCTCTGACCACGTCTTTTCCACTCACCGCCCTTGCCCTTTGGGTGTGACGAAAGCTCTGCCAGGTGCTCGCATCGGAGTGCTGGCCATCGTCATTTGCGCCGCTGGGTCGAGCAGAGCTCCGCGCGCTCCGCGCGGTCTCGACCGCTCCGTTTGGAGCGAATGAGTGTGCGGTCTATGCGGGTGTGGGAGTCATGGCACCGGGCTACCTGGGAGGGTTTTGACCAGCGTTTTGGGCTCCGGGTTTTGACCCACTGCCACAATGTCTTTATAGGGTGGCAAGCTGGGGACTATCTTGGACTTGATCGAACTACTCGCCTGCTGCTCGCCTTCGGCCACGTAGACACAATGATGCCCAAGCTACAGCCTTCGTAAACGCGAACCGCCTGAAATCCGGCCGGAAATTGGAGGCGCATTTGACCAGGCTCCCTGTGGGTTTGACTCGGACACGCCCAGATCGGCATCTTCATCATCGGTTGGCTGGCAGACCGCAAGGATCCGACCAGTTCAGACCCAAAGAGTCCTGCGCCTTTGCCGGCAGGGATTGTGCAGGGGGCTGAAACTGGAGCTGGCAGTGTCACAGGAGATGCCCAACCATACTGATACTACACTGACGATGATACATCAATACTGACGTATTTATAGGCTTGTATATTCCGTTGTGGGCACAAGTTGTAGACACCCCTATTCGCCGCCAAACGCATCTATCAGTTGTTCCTGACATTTGCGTTTGTTGATGGTGCGCATCGTGCACCACTCCCCTAAGGAGAGGCGTACTTGGATTTGGGAGAGGTTTGTAAATTTATAACGGTGGATGGTTCCGGTTCCTCAAATGGATCTGTGAAGGCTAGCTGCTTCCTCCACAGATTGGCCATAGGATCCATAGGGCAGTCAGTTGTGAGAAGAGCGTTGAAGTTGAGACTGTCCGGCTTGGCACAGATGACCAACATTTTTGTACATCAAGATGGTGGACCCCAAGCCTTGGCTCTTTTGGCGCATTTTTCTCTTACATCGCTGTCCTCGAAGCCTCTCTTGAGCCATGTGCAGTGTGCTTTTTGTTTTTCTCCGCCAAAACCGCAGGTTCGCTCGGACTTGCGAGTCCTTCCAGTCGTCGGCCAAAACCGCACGTTCGGTCCAAAGAGTCCGCTTTTGTCGGAGAAGCCGACGTAGATGAATCATGTGGCCTGACGTAGGGAGTAAAGAGCAGAACACCAGGCCTGTAGAATGTTTATATATACACTAGGCGCAGGGTCGAATCCCAGCAGTTTCGCCCCCATGCACCTTTCCCACCCTCCTCCGCAAAGTTTAATCATGTTTAATCCGTTGACCACATATATACTTGACCATCTATATGGATTAAATCAAACGATCCCAGAACTTGACTATATACCCCGGTGTAGTTTAAATCCATCTCAGCCTTGGCCATCGGATCTGCGACACATGTTTTGTTCGAGCGCTGGAAGGCTTGGCTCTACATGATCCTCGTCTCGGTGACCTTGGCAGTGGCAGCCATCCCGGAAGGCATCCCGCTCTGTGTCACCATCTCCCTGCCCCTCGGGTTTGCCAAAGATCTTCCTATTTGGCAGTGGGTCAAAACAAGGGTTGACCACTGAACATGAAAAGAATAGATCATTACCAGGGACCTCAACCTACTTGTACCATGGTTTGGAGCTCCCGGGTTTTGACTCACAGCCAATTTGGAGAGACGGTTTGTTCAAGGGACAACCTGTGGTGAGGATAGTCTGGCCTGGCACAAGGCATAAACTCAACTGTGCGGAGAAGAGAAAGGTGGACGTTTTGTGCGATGCACTCTCCTTGTTTGTGCACAAGAATTGCAACCCCACCACCCCCTCATTTCATCTATCTTCTCGTATGCATGGCGTTAACTTCAATTAATATACTGTACTTCCTTTATCACTGCTAGGACATGAGAAATGAACATGATGCTTGGAAGGGTCCCTATTCGAGAGGGGTGAGACCCCGGCCATGTCGGATTCTGGTGGCCGACTTGATGCCACTGAGGTCGATTGGATGCAGCGATGCCTGGCATCCAATGGCGGTGCAGAATCCACCTCTCAGGAGTTGCTAATGTAGACTCTTGATTAATAGACCCCTCTATTTCAATTGGAGTCTTCTCTTCATATGGGGGGTGTTTATTCATCAAGAGTCTACATTAAATCCACCCGGGTCTCAACCAATAACTGGGAGTCTCCATCCACCAACTTAGCTCTTTGGGGGGACCTTCTGCTGTGAAACCCCTTCTGCTGTGAAGGGTAGGCATTGAAGACCTGAGCAAAGCTGGAAGCAGCTGGAAGTGAAGAATGGACTTGTATCCGAGTGTCAATCCAAGATTTCATGATTCGACTTTTCTGAACCCTCAGCAATCCAATCAAGGCAACGTGATGGCTTAGTTGAGCGTTGCTTGTTTGGGGGTGTGTTCCTAGATTGAGTGGTCATTTTGGCCAACATATGCCAAAATCAAAGACCGACGCAAATGAGTCTGAACAGGGCTATTCTGCTTCAACCCTGCATCGTCCCCCTATAGCTCGCGCCGTTTCGCTGGCCTCCGGAGACGCGGTTTGTACTCCGCAGCAGCCGAGGACATGGCCGGGCACTCAGCAGGGGTGGAGCTATCGGGGTTGGAAGCAGAAACGGGTCATGTCATGGCGGCGGAAGCGGCAGTTGTGCCTCCTAACGGTCAGGCATTCTTCGGCCCACCTGTGCTTCCCTGCCTCCTTAGTCCGACAACGTGATTCTCAGACATTTTCTTTATATCAGTCTTTGAATCCTTCACTACTGCCTCCAAATAGTGTGGAGTCCCTTTGGTTCTTTCACATCACTTCTCCGGGGCCCCGGACCCGCACCTCTCCGCCTTGGTCCGGAGACAGCTGCCGTCCGCCCAGGTGGACCAAGAGGTGCTGGTGCGCAAGATCGCGGCGGTGGAGACCCTGGGCTCCGCCTCGGTGATCTGCAGTGACAAGACCGGCACGCTGACGGAAGGCCCCGGAAGTGGGCGCCGCGAGGGTCAGCATTGGTTAGTAAAGTAAGAGCAGAGTTCGTGTATGTGGAATGGTGCACGTGGAATGTTCCATTAATCGGTTGACCTTATATATGAACTATACTTTATCAGATGTTGAAGGTTTTGGATTTGGTAGTGGTCACGAGTTGTACATTTGGAACTCTAGCGACTCTAGTGGTTTGGACACGTTTCTCATTGAGTTTCAGCCAGGGAGTTGGGCAAGTTGAAGCTATTTTTTAGCTCCACCATTTTGCGCAATTTCCACCGCCGCCCATGTTGCGGAGGCAAGATGACCATGGTGGGCATGTACGCCGCGGGAACCACCTACGAAGTCACCGGCAAGGGCTTTGACCCTGAGGTGAGGTTTTGGAGGGGGCGTATGAGGAGTTGAAGAGGTAAACATTCGAACAAAGAACAACACTTTTTTGGGATTCCATTGGCAGGGTGGGCTGCCAGGAGGGATTGGTTGAGCTGGTGCCTTTTTGCACTGGCAGAGTTGCCATCGCCTCATTGTGCCCTCCCGGTGCAGTCTCCCACTCAGTTAGACTCTAGCTGTCGACTTAGCTTCGCAACCGACCGGAATTGATCCAAGAGAGTCATGAGCTCGACCAATTGTCTCGCTTGCTCGGTCGCTCGGGCGTGGCCGCTTCCGCCATGGGTGGCCGTGCCAGCCGGTCCACGGGTGTCTCAGGTGGGTGGCGTGATGCGCGAGGACGGCCAGGATGGCCGCAACGACCTGGGCAGCTCGGGGAAGATCAAGGTGGATGCTGGGGTATGGTGATGCGTTCCTCTCCCTCTCCCTCTCCCTCTCTCCCCCTCCCTCTCTCTCTCTCTCTATACCGGTATATATATATATATATGCATTCATGTGTAATTTGTTGTGTTGTTTTTGCATTTCTTTGGGAGGACACGCTGATTTTGAGATCTTGCAGTGATTTTGGTTGATCAATGATTTAAAAAGATGCGAAAGAGCATGGAGACGACAGAGAGTCTCTTGATACAGTGGGAAATCGAAGAAAAATCTGTCATAATATTGGTGTCAAGACTTCCCAATCACTCCTCCAACCTTCGAGAAAACAGTTACATGTTCTCATCATGAACCACCACGGTTGCGAAAACCCCCAACCAACCTGCTGCTCCATGTCGTCTTCGGTTTTCCGGCCGCCCGAGGCGTGAAGAGCAACTTGTTGACGGTGCCGCGGCGGGCGTTGTGGTGTGCGGTGGATCGGATCTGGGCACCGGAGTGTCCGGCTTCGTGTCCGGGACCGGTGAGTGTCCGGCGGTTGAACCGAGCAGTGGACCGACCCAGCTCGTTCGAACGACATCGTTTCAGTGATCGAACGACGTTCGAACGACAATTCTTGGTTCGTTTGATTCGAAAAGTTCTATCAAGATTGACCAAGAGTTCTGCAAGGAGGGCGACTCCCTACTAGCTGCTTGGGGAACCATGGGGGTTGAGTATCCTGTCAGGATCGCGACATATTATATTCCTTTAGCTTCAATGAACTGAACTGCGTCACAGGCCAGTCTCATTGGCATTCCTCTGAAGGTCGCTGAGACTCTACTAGTCGCGGCCCCCCCCCCACAGGAGATTCTGAAAACCAACAGATTTGATTCGTTAAATCAACTTCTAAATGAACCTCGGGACCATACTGAAATCAAAGAATCAATTTCAGCTACTTCGTCCCTACTTCCTTCACTGAATTGACTCCCTTCTCGAATTCTTGAGGCAATCCTTTGCTGCAACACCACTCTCAGCAAGGAGACCGATGAGGCAAGACCCTGTGTTGCACCCAGACCGCTGCCTGGAGTGGCGCTTGAAGCACCTCATGTGGGGGGTGTTGGACTTGTAGAGGAGTGGGGGAACCGACCTCCTGACGCAGCACTCGCAGCGCTCGTTCGCCAGGCCGGAGTGATGAAGTGGACGCCCAAGGCAAGGTGTTTGGACCAGGAAAGCGCTGGAGTGTGGTGGGTGTGGTGGGTGGGGTGAGGCTGGCACAGATCGGGGTGACCAATGAGCCTCCAACATGCTAGTTGGCAGAACAGTTTCCTTTCTTCTGAAATTTTCAAGCCCAGTGGGTCTTCGTGCCAGTTCCGTGCTGGTTTAAGAGGCAGACCAGGACTTTGGCCATGCTTTACCCATATCGGTCCAGTTTCACTGGGCCTTGGAGGCCCAGTGGGTCAACAACCAGTTTAACCGGTGCTTTGGCAAAATGGGAGCTGGACGGGCTTTAATCCTCCAATGAACAGATTGTGAAAAACATGTAACACTTAGGTCTTAGACGTTGAGAGGTAAACTGTGTCCTTTACCCTACTAATGCACTAGTTGAATCGGTCCCTTTGGACGTACTGGGAAGTGTTGATTCCAAGTAGACAGTCGAACGAATTCTCCTCGCGCCCAGGGCAACTCGTCGGAGGCTCCGATCGTGGTGGCTGCACGCAAGGCAGTGGGCATCACTGGGCTGCGGGGGTGGGTGTGGCCAAACTAAGAGGTGTCACAAGGACCTTGGCTCATCTGAGCTCCGGGTATACGACCAGATTCTCGTTTTTTGGGCCATGACCCGCATCGACTTGGACACTCTCAGGTGCACCAGTGATCACATGTGATCACTAGTTGGCAGTGATCAGTCAACAGCTCCAAACATCCCGGGGCGCTCGGAGTGAATCCACCGTCGACGGTGGATCCGCCGTCTCGCCCCTTCGCCCAATCCGCGGCATCCGAGACTCGCTCCGCCGGTAGGTGGGGCTTTCGGAGACCATCGCCGGTTCCTGGGAGGGAAGCGGAAAGCGGAGGGGATGGTGAGGTGTGGGAAGTACGGGTCGTACTGAGTACTGGTCCTTGTCCCTTGACCATTGGCATTTTGCACTGGGCATTTTGCTTCACCAAGAGCAATAAATAGAACTTCAACGTGGCCAGCGTGTGTTGAACGAGCTTCTTGTAAATCATGAGGTGTTCCTGGAGGGCTGTCAGTTGTCTGGGGGGGCCACCAAATTCGGCTGGGGCTACGCTACCCTCCGTGGAAGTGAATCATGCGCAACGGGCTATTGTTCTTTGCTCCGGCAACCGCATACTTCGGCATTACGCGCATTCTTGTGAGCAAGATCCTCCACTGGTCCACATTTCGCCCATGCTGTGTTGCCTCGTTACGACGTTGTACCCCTCACTCCCTTAATCCCTTACTGTAATTATATATATATCTTTGCAAGGGCTTTGAGTCCGGCACATCTGGCAGTACGACTGCTTGTTTCTCAGCCGAGGCGAATACCCTCGAGTGCTGGAAGTTCCCTTCTCCTCCTCCAGGAAGATGATGCTCTCTGGCCAGCACTTCCTGTGGGGCCTTTTCTGTCCGAATGCCATGTACCATCATGTATACCAGTACCCGCACTGCCAGATCTATACCGGGTTGTTGAGTTGTTGGGTCCTATTCAATAAAGGGTGTCCATTGGGAACCTGTCGAGTCGCCCTCTGTGGGTCGCCTTGGGCCCAACACATGCGGTTATACTGTATGCCTTGGTGCCTGGCGCGGCATGCCATCGACACCGCTGTCGCTCGCGTCGGGGCGCGCGAGCTCGACTCAAGGCTCACCGTCTCGAAGGTGGGTGGCTCTCACTTGTGCCAGGGAGGCATGCCCTTGCCGCCAGGCGGCGCCATCCGGCGGTTGTTTTGCTATGCGGGGAACGTATGAGGATGGTGACTGCCATATAGTTCGGTGCCATACCACAACGACGATCATGGTGGTATATTTTGCCCTGACAAATCTAAGAAACTACCTGAAAGGGATCTAGAATTCTATATATATATATATATTATCTTATATAAAAAATATTCAACATACCAACCAGGACATACACTTTTCGTCACTTGTCATCCTTTGAACTTCGATGTTTGGTGTGTTGGGGTCTAGCATCTTGCTCACTTGTGCATACTTGTGCTATGTAATATGCCAAATATGTATTAAGGCAGTATGATTCATATGACTTGAACTTTTCACATGCGTTCAACTCTGCACGTCAACGTTCAACTCTGCAATGAGTCCCGAGATGCGCCCGATCTATCGGGTCGATTGTTGCAATTTTCCTGCGAAGCATCCGAACTTCGCTATCATCCCAACACGGGTGGGCATAAATGGTCCAAACACACAACACCATTGGTGCCATTCCATACCTGGGGGAACATTAGCAAGACTGGGAAAACTGAACGTCGAGTCTTTCTTTTGAGGGAGCTAGAACTTCCTCGGGAGTTTGCCCACGACATCACTACTACATCACCACCCCTGAGGACAAACCAAGCAAGCTCGATTTGGGTCTCAAGACGTCGACTCGATCCTTGATGCAGCTAATTAGCAGCTCGTTCGCAGTCCAGGGACGAACTACTTGACGGTGTGCAAGGGTGTCGGGAGCCCAAGCAGAGCGAGGGCTGTGGTGGAACGGAAAAGGTTGATGGATAGATAGAGCAGGGTAGACATGTTACAGTGAGTTTAAAGAGTCGATGGTCCAGTTCGCACTCGGCCAGCGGCCAGGGAGTCGATGGCGTCACATGCCATTAGGAGTCGATGGCGTTCATCGGCTTGATGCAGTGGTCCAGTGGTCCAGTGGCATGTCCACCGTGGGAAAACATGTTCGTCACACACGCAGAGCATAGATGAGGCCAAGAAAAGATTTTGCCCCACCATGGCCACAGCTGTGCAACAGCAGGGCTAATTTTGCCAGTCCAGCCCAGCTTGTGGTAATTTGATATATTTTGTTTATCCTTAGAACTTGCCTCAGCCATAGTTGTGTGTGTTTGTATGTTGTGGGTTGGCCCGGTTGGCCCCGCTCCACCTTATTTCGCTATGTGAGAGATGACGGCCACGGGGTAATGTAGGCCACTTAGTGCAAGATGTTGTCCATCCCTTTCCCACGCCCTGTGACTCAACAGTACCGAGGCGCCCAACTACATCATCGACCTTTGCTGTGAGCAGCTGAACCCTGATGGGAGCAGCTTGGTTCCGGTGAAGTTGGAGAAAGTCAGAGAAAAGGGTGGAAAGGATGGAGGCGAAGTAAAACAGACCCTGTGACAAAGAAGCCCCAGCTTGACGAGAATAATCAGAGGGTGGTGAGCTTTAGCCTGGAGGGCGTGTATGACCATCACCCAGCAGATCGTGAGACTTTCAATTTCCAGTTTCCTGCCTTTCCTTGTCGCAGCCTACACTGAATTAATTGTGCCAACCTACACTTCTACATCTTCAAAGCCACATTCCTGTGCATTTGAAAGGTTTGTGCGATCCAATCGGTGGGCTTAGGCTTAGTCGACATCCATGAGGAACAGTCTGCACTACGAGAGATGTGTTGTAGATTGGAAGTCTTGTCAACTGCAGTGGATGTTGGCTTTGCTCGAAACCATTGGCATTGGTACGCAGTAGGTTATAGGTGGCTCACGGAAAAATACAATACCTGCTTTTCAACATGTATGCCACACTCACACACATGAGCACCCCAAACTCTGAAAAGCGATAGGTGAGTCACGAATCTTCCGACAAGATTAGGTAAACAAAGACTTGTGACCGCTCTTCACATGCTACATCTGGGTTTCAATTATTTACAGCTTCTCCATGTTTGCTCCATAAAGGAACACCTTTGCTCCGTGCTCTCAGTCCTTGCGAATTCAGGCGTGGCCAAGTTGAGCGACGCGGACAAGTCCAAGATCCTGAAGATCGTGGACGGCTCCATGGCACGGGATCGTGCCAGGGAAGACCGGTCTGCTGGGTTTGGCTTTTGGGGCAGGTAGTTGAACCATGTTGAACCTATACAGTTCGTTTGCAGCTGCCCTTTGGCCGTCGCTCTTGAACAGAAAGCAGTTTTTTGAGGTCTTGGCGACTACATACTGTAGTTCGTACTGCAGTTATTTTGACGGCCCCAGTCCTAGCTCTAGTCCTACACAATTGAAGCCGAGAGATGGCTCTCGGCTTCTGAGAGGTGTGTTGCCTTTTATGGCAGCGCGGTACTGGTGGGTTTGCAGCGCCCTCGCCCTACACCAACATAGCAATCCGTCGGGTCTTTAAATGTTTTTGAACAAGGCCTTTACCAACCATCATCATCCACAGTTACTGTACTGGTAATAGGATAGACCCCAGCAATCCACTTCTGTGGGTCTGGAAGCCAGTCCAAACATCCCAGACATTCGAGATCAATGTTGTCCCACCTGCTACTGCAGGACTGCTGAAACAAGGACACCCAGAAGCGGCCAGAGAATTTTACAATGATCTAGCTTAAAAGAATCTTGGAAAGACTCTTTGTGTTCTGTGTTGGGGCTTGCACTTTGCCGCAGCCTCCATTCCGGTCCATTCCTCCTTCCGTGCCCCTCCTCCCGCCTCAGGCTACTCCGCGCGCGCCTTGCGCGTCCTGGCGATCGCCGCGCGGCCCATGTCCAAGTTGCCGCCCTTTGGCTTCGGGCTTCGACGGGGTCCCGCGGTCCGGTCCATCGGTCCGACGCGGGGTCCACCGGTTCGCGGCGTGGGTGCCCTGAGGTACGATGAGAACAACGAGGATGCACCTTGGACGGGGAGTGCACGGAGAGCGCACGGTCTGGGAAAACACCGATTGGTGACTGACAACATGGGTGTTGTTAAACAGCGGTTCCTGAAACGTTCTTGGCCTCAATGGGGCCTTAAGGTAAGGATAGGTAAGGCATGTTTAAATTTCATTTCGGTGTTTAGTTTTTTTAAATCTTTAGCTATTTGCCCCACATAAGAAAATCTCAGGGCAAACTCATTGAACATTGAACGGAACCACTTCGTTTTTTAGTCGATGACCTGGTGTGGAACGAGAACATTGAAGCTGGGATGATCGGAGGAGTTCATTCCCGGGGGGGAAGCACTGAATGAACCAGCGTTGATGGTTCTACGCGCCAATGCTTTGCACAAGAAGACCCTCAATCGGTTGGACTACCACATTTGGACGAATCAAGCCAAAAGAAACACCAGGACTCGGCCATCCATCCAAACATGAGACCTCCAAAAATTGGACGAAAACAAGACACAACAAACCACGACACGACGCCAAGCCCACGACGTGGTCCGTCCGTGGTGGTTTTTCTTCACTTCTTTGGCCACGTCTGGTGGTTCTCTTCCCCCGACCGAGGTCACCACGGACCAGAAGTTCGACGCTTGCCGCCAGCAGCTGCGCCTCATGGGCTTGGTCGCCTCCATTGACCCGGAGCGTCCCGTGGCGGAGCGGTTCGGGTTGGGGGTCGTTTGCGGTCAGGGTCGATGTCCGAAACCAAGAGGTCACGTCAAGCTGGTGCCAGATGTCCATGTCAATTTGGATTGACCATTTTGGCATTTCATCCAGTTGGCCGCGTCATTCGTGGTGTGGTTCTCCACCGACACGATCTCCGGACGCTTCGGGCACGATCTCGACCGCCCGAGGCGACGGGGTCCCGGACAGCGTGGTGGCCGCGCGGGGCGCGGGGATTCGCGTGGTGATGATCACCGGAGATTACCTGTTGACGGCGATTGCCATCGCCAAGAACGTCACCGGGCAGCTGGGAGAGGGATCAAAGACCATTCTTAAGAGCTTGGAAGACGAGAAGACTGTCATGGATGATATATGATGATATGAAGATGGATTTTGTTTGTTTAAGCGTGGTTTTCAGGCTCTTTCTGGGACACTTTGGATTTGATGATTTTGGTTGGTTGGTTTCGGTGGACGTCCAGGGATCGATACATCCGTTTCATTGGAAGGGAAGACGGTCTTGGGCGTTGGAAACGGGTTTGGAGGAGAAAACGCACGAAACGCACGGGCACTCACAGAGTGCATTGCCATGATTCGTGAAGAAGTAGATGAACACCAGTCTTTGAAGAGAGCAATCAATTGATCCCCCAGTCCCCCAGATGTCGATTTGGGGGATGGTCTATGGTGCTCTATGTTTAGTCTATCTCAAATGTGAGATTCTTTGTGGTAGATGTGGTGGCCACAGGCACGTTCAATTGGACACTGCTCACAGGCACCACAGGACCTTTGTTTGGCACGAGACTTCCTCGAGTTCTCGAGGTGAACATTCTGCAAGACACCGACGATGTCGAGACCTCCGCCATGGATTGTGCCAGTCTCCGGCCCAACGGCGAATACCTCTCCAACCAGGTCGACGACCGGGGTCGCCGTCGCGACGACCGGGGTAGACCAGACCGTGCCTTCTCCTTGCGTCCACGCGAAGCCCCGCGATGCCAGGAGATGGACCTTGTCACCTGCAGCACGCGTGTTTTCGCACGTGCCAAGCCAGAGGAGAAAGTTTGGGCGCAGGGCTGGAGCATTTCCTGGCACCAGTCCAGCACGAGAGCACCTTTGGTTCCTAGATATCACCAATAATTTCCCACTGGTGATTACTGATTCAGATTTGAAAGGCGCTTGCTACCCGCCTGCAGGCTAACATGGGCCTTGAAAAAGGACTCCTGGACTCCTGGATGAGGACTTTCCTTTTACAACCTGGTGGTTTTCAGGGTCCATGCTAATCTGCTGGAGGCTCGATTGTATACTGGAGGCATGATTGGCTGACAGACACCAAACAGATCTTGTGAATTTCCTTCCCCAAATCGGGCGGCACCAAAATACCTGTGATTACGTATGATTCCAGGTGGTTTCATGGCTACTTAGTAATCCGGGCTTCCTGCAATTTGTCGAACAGGATCTTGGACCCTGCAGTCTGTACTTTGATATCTTGGGATCACACTGTCAATTTCATTAAAGTTTAACGATCCAAACTGAACAACTGATGAAGACGTAAAGCCTATCAACCATTTCAATGTCCAAAAGCAATGAAGAGGTAAATCCATGCTGTTATGTTTTTTGCACTGAGGAGGTCCCTTTAATTGAGTGGTGCAGCCTGGATCGAGCTCAACCGGGCTCCAGGACAAGCTGGAGATCGTGAAGAGCATCCAGCGTCAAGGTGCAGCGGAAATTGGTCTCCGAACGGGGGGGAAATCCCAGTCCAGACAGTGATTCAGGTTCCCTCATCCGCCCCCATTATGGTATCTCCCCACCAGGTACCTTCTTATAGAAACTCAATATACACAATTCCCAAGTGAGCCGTGAAGCGCCAGAGCCGTGGGGAGAGGAACGAGAGGTTTACAAACACAAGCCAGGGGCTTGACAGCGCGTGCGCGGTGTGCGCGTGCGTCAAAACACCTGACGTCTCTTGACATCATCACTCCACACAAACCTGAACCGTCCCAAACCGTCCCAAACCTGAACCACCAACATCTCTATGTCAAAGAGATGTCTATGATCGTGAGCGACTCAGGGGGTGAGGTTCGTGGCCAACCGAACACGCCGTACCAAACCTGAACCGGCCACAGGTCAGGTGGCTGCCATGACGGGCGATGGAGCCGCTTGGCCACAACGACGCCGAATGTTGGAGCCGTTGGAGCCGAACGGAGGGACACCGTAGCCGTAAAGCTGCCAAGTGCAAGGCTCCACCGGGCAGCTACGAAAGCCCGTAGAACCCTATAGCCCTGACAACAACCCTCAAATCCGAGGATTTCGTGGTGATGCCGCCTGAAGCCATGACACTACCATTTTGTGGGAGAGTCGAGAAGAGAGTCCTATCCTACCCAGCACCGGACATGGCAATTCAGGATGTGACGATTTGGTGCTTGGCCCTCCATCGGCTCAAGTAATGATATGTCCGCGGTTTGCAGTTGCAGAAAAGGAGGGGAAAGTCGGAAAGGCGAACGCTTTTTGACCAATGGTCCAAGACACAAACATGACCTTTGTGATTTTTGTGCGTCGAATGCTCTCTACTGTAGGCCCTGTAGGCTGCGAAGGTTCAACAGATTGGTTTGTCTTGATTGAAAGTCTTGGGCCGGATGTTCTTTAGGGATGTCAATGTGTTTCCTGGGCGGCTTTGGTATGTTTTGATGGTGTCCTGCAGTCTGCAGAAACTCTCATGAGAAGCACTAGCCACTCAAGCCGAGATCTTCAAGCCCAAGGCGACGCCACCCGACACCGCCGGGAGAAAACGGCCCGGATGTTCACTCGACTCGCTCCTCTACGCCACCATTTTCCTGACCAAAACAGGTGGTGCTCTTCTTCGCAAAAGACAACACCAAAAACCGCATGGTGAACGACCCGCCCGTTCCCGGCGGAGGTGAACGACGCCCCGGCGCTGAACCAGGCGGACATTGGAGTGGCCATGGGTATCCAAGGCACTGAGGTGGCCAAGGGCGCTTCGGACATGTGGCTCGGACGTCGTGGTCGGACGTGAAGGGGAAGAACGGGAACGGGGGGGCTGTTTGGTTGGGTTACGGAAGACAAGCAAGGAAGGGTCTATATTCAAAAGTGCTCCAGGAGTGTAGGTGCTGATAGCCTCAAGACTCAAGACCTTTCTTCGGCCAAAATTAGGTTTGGTCGGGTTTTAGGGTGATGGGTGGCCGTTGGGGCTGGTATAAGACCACCATTAATTTGACTCTTTGAGTTTGAGACCAGTGCGTCCTTCCGTCCCCTACTCGGTCCTGCCCTCATTGGAGATTCTTAAGATGAGCATTTAGAGAGATGAATGCCGGGACAAGGAAAAAAGGGCAATAGCGCTCGGGCTGCTTGGGGAGAGTCCGGCTACAGCCCCGTAATGCGTCACGACGACCCCCTCCACGTGGTCCAGGGGGTATCGCGTGATCCATTTTGTCCTTTCACGCGGGGGCACTTTTCCCCAGTGAACAAAACCTTGTCCTATACCCTATGCACTATCATAAAACATACAAGTCACGCAAGTCAGATTTCTATAGCGAATTGTTGAACTTACTGTAGATTCATTTTTTGCAAATAGGGGGACAGCAATTGAAGCGTGGTGAGGAGAAGTTCTTCCGATAGCGGGGTGGTGAGTTCGGGGTGGGTGATCGAAACTTTTGCACTGCTAAGGGTCTTGACAGATGACAACTTCTGCTCCATCGTGAATGCAGCTGCTGGGCTTTGGATGAATGCTTGGCATGGCATATTCAGGCCAAACGCTTCCAAATTATATGTATATGTATATATGTACCCAACTATATTTTCAACTATACTCATGGTGGCCGCAAGGCAGATAAACATGGTTTTTTCAAATATGTAGAATGCAGTATAGAAAACATAGTTGTTTTAGTTGGTACACATAATACCCACGTGGCAGTGTGCGTGAAGTATTGACAGCGTTGCGGTCCAATACTTTCTTTTGATATTCTCAGGGGATTCACTTGATTGAGCTGACTCCACTCTTCAAAGTACACAGAGATGACGAAATGCTCGACAGGAGTTGCTTTGTTTGTATAGGCCGTGCTAACCCCCAAAAAGGCCCCAAAGTCCACTTGCGCGAATCGCCTCGCGGCGGAACTGCAGCGCTCGGCCACCGCTGCGAAAAAGATTCTGGTGCAAAGCAGAGGATGTTGAGCGTGTTGTGGGGGGTTTACCTGAGGTGGAGAAGGGTCGAGCCATCTACAGCGGAATCCAAAAGTTCGTGGCCTTCATCATGTCAGTGCACATTGCCGAGGCGCGGGTCGCGTTCGCGCCGGTCGCGTTCGTGCGGTCGGGATCGGGTGGTTGACGACGTGAGAGGAAACCGACCGGTTCGTGGGTGGCAAGGTTGACTTGGAGCGCTTTGCGGTAAGTAGAGTACTGCCTTTTCATTGCAAATGCGTTGTTGGTGGTGGCGCGAAAGAATTCACCAGCGACGCTGAAGACAGGTTTTCTAGCCCAGGCTTGACCACTGCATGGTCTGCCATTGAAACCATAATTAAAATATAACTACACCCGGGAAGATTAACAATGGAATCTGAAAATGGACCTTTGGAAAACTATTTTCCTCATTTTCCTCTACAACCCTGTGGTTTCTGGTTCCATGTCAATTTACCAGGGTGTATTGATAAGTGCGAGAGCCCGACGTCGCAACCTGATGTGGATGCCAAGCAATAAATGTATAATGCAGTACATCAATTGGCCAAAATGCAGTATGCCATGCGTTGATATGCATTGTATCATTTTATTTCCCTTTGCTTTGTGTTTTTGAATCCTTGTCAGCCTTGTCATTCAGGATGGTTGGACCCAGGAGTCGGGAGGGAGACTGCAAACACCAAGCCCTGGAAGTTCCAGTGGAAGTGTGGGATCAAACTGTCCAGTGGGCTTCATGCAGACTCTTGAGGTTTTTGCAATCCAAATGATCCAACGGGGAGGTTTGATGAGTTTTATGAATATAGATTCTATATTCGGTTTTGCCCAGGTCATGCAGATCTTCATTTGCATCGTCATTGGCATCCCTGCCCCTTGGAAAACTCGGGGTGGACAGGCGCCAGGACGCCCAAAAGGAACGGGGTTGGATGCCGTCGGTTCTTTGGGGATCGATCATTGATGGATCCTCCAAGGTGATGCGAACTCCCTTGCAGATCCTTTTCCTGATTCTGGTCACGGACTTGCCACCTTCCATCGCCTTGGGCATGGAACCAGGCGGGCGGGCATTTTTTGTAGTAGAGAACTACAGAACTACCCAGGGACGGTGAGGGTTAGGGGTGAGCAGTTTCATGAGGTTCCCATGCAAAACAGAGAGAGGGAGAGGGAGAGAGAGAGAGAGAGGGAGAGAGAGAGAGAGAGAGAATATGGATGAGAGAGGAGTTGGGAAACCGTAGAGTTTCGACATTTGTTCGACTGAACTGGAGTTCTCAAATCTGGTTGAAAGGTGAGGTTGGTAGACTCTTTGGGTTTTTGTGAGGGTTCACAAAGTCTTTCATTTTTTTAACAGCTAAAGATTTAGGCAGTTACTGAGGGGCAGAATTTTGGAACGCAGCTATCAAACACAACTAGTGATGCAGCTATCAAAAATGATGTTGAGCCTCTCATTTTATGGGACCCTCAAATTTCTACTTGCACAATTTTATTCACATTGGCGGGTTGGCATAACCGTTTTATACCTATAAAATGAGGTCAAGGACCCCCCCGTTATTCACACAGCCATCTTTTGTTCATGGAAAGGTTTGAGAAGGGTTGCACATCAAGGCGTATGAGGTGCCATTTGGTGCCATTTCCACAGTCAGCTTGGCACTCACCCCCACATCTTTCCACCTTGTCTTGGCCACATCCACATCACGCGTGGAGGTGAGGCGCACATCCTCAAGATGCGCCCACGACCCAAGGACTGGGAGTGGCCGGACGAGCCCCGAAACCGCGGAACGGAAGTCCAACATCTCACGAAACCCGTGGGCTGTGCGTGTTGGGTGGCAAAACGAACAGAACACAGCTTGGATTGTTATTTTGCAAGCCTGTTAAGTAGAGCCGCTCCAGGCTGCTCCGGTTGCCCCGCTCGCAAAAAAGATTTTGGACACCCCGGACACCAAACATCCAAAAGGCTTGGTACTAGTACATGTATATCTTGTATGTACATGTGATTTGCGAGCAGAGCTTCGAGTTTACAGTGAAGCTGAAACCTCCAATCGTTTCAATCCTAACGACCGACCGACTCTGTCTGACCGACCACCTGTGAGGAAGAGCCGATCGTGCTGATGTGGATGCCTAGCTGACCCAAAGCGTTTGGGAACAAACAACTTGCTGCCAAGGTGTCCATCGTGAGCCGTAAGAGCAGTGGATACGTCGCAGTTAGAGGGGTGACCATGGCCAGGTGGCTGTGAGGCTGTGACGAGTCATGCGTTTGTGTGCCAAGGATGTGGTTGGCAATGATCATGAACGGCATGGTGCTCACTGTGGCTGGGCGAACGCAACATCCATGTGAAATCACGGGGATCTCTCCACCATGGGCGAATGGATGTGGACAGACTCCTGACTCACCTGTCTGCTCAGAAGCCCCAACCGTACACCCAAATCCAACCAGACGGGTGATCCACCCATGTGGGTGATCCACCCAGGAGACTGGGAGGGAAGATGAGGGAAGTCCTCAAAATGTACGAAAAGTTCCATCAAAAGGTGGACCTGGACCTTTGGGGATCCGTGATTTGGTTTTGAAAGACGTGGCCAGGATTTCGATAGTGGCAACACTCGCACTCCGGCAAACACAGAAAGCAGTTTGAGGTTCAAAGGCCCTGGGTGTTTGGGGAAGCCCCCTATGATTCCGTGAGTTCGAGAGGGTGCCTGAGGGCCTGAAGGTCCTTGCAGGCCCCCAGAATCGCATGTAACAGGTGGTGGTCGTCGCGGTCTACATTATCTCCTTGATCCACTTCTGCGATGGCGAGATCTTACAGGCTAACATCTACGATCTGGGAAAAGGCCGGCTCTTCACCGCCAGGGAGCCGTCAGGGCCGGCCGTTTGGCTTCGAGCCGGCGGACCATCCGCCGTACATCCGAGAACTGGACTGGTCCAGTCCAGTCCATGTTTTACTCAATATGAGGTTTCCCCCCCTCTGGTCAGTGCACTCCAGTGCAGTCGTGCAGTGGGTGTTTGGGTCATTGAATGGATTCGAGTCATTAAATCGATTCTTTCTTCAGTCAGGGGTTCATTGGAAGACGCTATGAGACGCTATGATCCTCCATGACGTTTTTTTTTTGGAAGTTCTTTTGGGCCCTCTAGGCGAAAAGGGCCCAAAGGTAAGATTGATTGGCGAAAAGGGTGTTTTCCCTCCTGCTGGTGGTGGTGAACTGGATGAACGCATATGAACGCCATGAATCTTGACAAAGAAGACTGATAGGGAGATCAAGGGGGCGAGGGAGTGCGGCCACTGGGACATGCTTCCCACATGTTCCACCAGCGGGCCACTGGGGGGGCCAATTCCTCCGGACCATGCCAATGGCCGAGCGATGAGTTTCAGTGAGTCGAGCCCCGGCCCAAAGAAGAACAACATGGTAGGCAACACAAGCTGCTGCATTCATTTTGGGAGGGAGCAGCTTGTGGCTTGTAGGAACTTGCTTCAGAGTACCATGCCACTCCCTCCCCTCGGAACTCTGGCACGTTCTGAGGCTTCCAAGACAGGCCCGTGTGGTTTTGGTTCGGTTTGATGTTTCGATGCTGTTGATTTTGTATCAGGGGATGCCATCCTTAAAGCTGCTCCGACATTCTGACCAATACACTAATATTCAATAACACGCAGATCAAACACAGGTAGGTTTAAATTACACAGCTTGCTGCTGGGGGTGGAATGTTGGGATTGCGGCCATCGTGCTCAGTGTTTTTGCCGGCATGATTACGGCACCTTGGGAACCATACGGGAATATGTAGCCCGTTCTGGTGGACACCTGTGCACTGCACCTTGGTATATCAACAAAATAAATTCATACACCAGAATGACAAAACGTGACATTATAGAATGCAATGAGTTGGTTGGACGCGTGTTTTGCATAGTTTGCGAGGTAAGCCGGTAAGCCTATCAAGCTGTATTGAAAAACGGATTTCGCGTGGACTGGACGGCTTGAGCCACACAAGCTAATTCTCCTTCATTCTCCTGCAAGAGTGCTGCTCCGAAATGCGTGGAAGGTTGGTATCTTGGCTGAGGTTCCTAGTCCGCACTTGCCGAGACCCCCCCAAGCCCCCCATTAGCGAGAAGCCAGGGCAGCAAGGTCTTTTTGCAAGCCGACAGCATTCTGAGCCTCCACAAGTTCTTGGAAGTATTTGAGTATTATATATCTACAAAGAACAGAACAAAGAAAGCACATAAAAACAAGAACCGAGTTCTTCGTTTGTTTGTTCTTTTTTTCTTTCGCATTTGCATGGGGTGCATAAGCTCCATGATATGGACCACCAGGGTGAACATGCCGCCACTGCCAGGCTGGCTAAGGCGCAGACCGTGGCGTTCATCTCCTTGGTGTGGCCACCGGGAGCAAAGGGGGAGGGGAACGAGAAAAAGGCATAGGCATGCTTTGGCCAAAATGTTCTGGAGTGGCCCCGAAGTGGATGAAATTATGATGAAAAATCTAAAGTATACAGTAATATATATAATATCTATATTAGTCCTTGGAATGGAACTTGTAATTCAAGCCCTTTGATTTGCCCACCACCGCTAGTCCTTTCCGTTGGTGCTTTGGAGCGGCAGGTTGCATCTACTCAAAACGCCACGTCGTGGGGTGTTTTGGCTCCTTGAGGTCTGAAAATATCCGTGCCTACATCTCGCGGTCCTTCACCAATCCCATGTGGCATGACATCTTGGGGAACAAGCACATGCAGAAGGCCATCATCATGGCGCAGGTTTGCCTCTACGTGGCGGCTCAGATGTTCGGAAGCGGGGCCTGTGGCGAACCCAAAGAGTGTGAATTGAATCACAGGAGGGTCACCATTTGCCTCGAGACTGTGTTGCTAGGTCTGTGAGAGGTGGTTGAAAGGCAAGCCAACTACTGCAAGTTCGTAGAGGAAAACGGCCTTTCCAGTGGCCATTTGGAAATTAGTGAGTCGGAGTGTAACTACTGCAGCAGTTCGACATGGAAAGCACCGACTTGGTAAAGGTGATAGTCGCTCCACCGATATCCACTGCACGCACTGCTAAGTTCACTGCTGTACCAGGGCTTTCCTATGATTCCTAAATGAGAAGCCTGCTGAAGTCTGCAAATTGACACCTTTGAACACATCTCTGCATCCCTGTCGCCCGTTTGGGTCGTTCCCCACCCGCCGTTTCGCCGAAGCCCACCGGGTGCTTCACGCCGAGGCGGTGCTCACGCCGTATTTGTCCGACCGCATCTTGGGGCTTCGAGGACTGGAGATTGGTGCCTTGCTGGGGTCGGGTGGTGGCTGGTGGAGGTGGTGGAGTATCCATGCGTGGTGGGGCATGGAGGAGGGCAGGGATGCAGATAGGGGGTGCACAAAAAAAGGGGTGCCCAATGAAAGTGACTCACTCTTTGGGTTGACAAACTCGTTTTTGGAAGCTCCTCATTGCTTTGGTGTGTGATTTTTTGATATTTCTTGAGGTCATTTTTCACAATGATTGGTCTTTTTATTAGGCACACGAAGCCCGCGAATCACCCTGGTTCATTGCTGGAAAATAGAGTGAAACCTAACTGATCAAGATGTTCCGTTGACCTACGGACGTCAGGACCTTCGAAGAGATGGCATTTGATGCAATCGATCGACGTGTCCAGAAAGCTTCAAGCACATTTGTTGGACACCGCGACATGATAGGGTTTGAGCTGACATATCATGTAGCTGTTTTCACATGTTTCCACAAAATGAGTGGAGCACAGGCAGACAGGTCTTGGTTTTATATCGCCCGTTTCAAGTGGAGGGCGGACTCTGGGCCCTTCTGAGGCATCTTTGGGTGGGCCTTGGCGATTGCTGGGCCCGTGGGATGTTTCATCCTGAGCGAGTCCTGCAAGCTCATCAGTGCCTGGGCGAGAGAACCATGACCGGCACTCCCAAACCGTTCGCCGTTCCCCGAGCCTTCAGATCTTCGGCTTATAAACCCTGGGCCTTTGTGCCCTATACAGCGACTGCGACTGCCGGTCACTGGTGCCTAGAGCTCACAGTCCAATGAGCTGTTGGACAAGACAAGCCAGATGGTCGGAAAGGACCTTGATTCATGGCCAGTGGATACCCTTTGCATACTCACAACTCATAAGTAGAACTCCTTGAGCTCAGATATGCTCAGATGTTCCAAGAAAGGGTCCTGGGAGACTTTGTCATACTGCGGCCCCGGATGGCTGCATTTGCAGAAATGATGTCCTGAGGGGCTCAAGGTACTATGGACACGCTTGTCACGAGTGGAGAAGCTCTAAGCAGTGGAGGAAGAAGCTCTAAGCATCCATTGGTGTTCTCGCCTCTGATTTAGATTCAACTTCAGCTCCTTGCATTCATCCTCCCATCATTTTTGTCCCGGCCGACTCAGGTGCATATCAGGCTCGGAAGCATCAGGCGGGACTTTTCAACGGATTATGAGCTGTGGGGCTCCATTGGTCGGGGGCATGGGATTGGTCGGTCTGAGTTTTGTGCATGTTGGTCAAGTTTGCTTGTGGTTTTTGGAGGGGCTGTGGCTACAGCCCCACACCCACACCATCATCTATATATTTTCTTTTCTCACACGGTGTTTCTTCGGGACAGCGGGCTGAACTGGGGGACGGCGGCCGCTCAGTCCAGAGCTTCTGAGCTGAACCCGCTCCACTCACCGCGGGAGGTTGCCGGCGTCAGCTCGTGGGGTGCTGGAGTCCTCTTCAGGTGTCTCAATTCGATTTCGCCCTCGGTGAAATCATCGTGGAAAGTGGATGGCGCCCCGAAAGGATGAGCATGTTTCTCCACCATACTCTTTTGGTGACAGCCAGGAGAGCTTGGCCATGTCCGAGGCTGTTGCTGCCCCGGCGAAGCCCATCAAGGCGCGCGGATGGCGCAGGGCGCGCTCGGTGTGCACAGTTTGAACCCGCTGCGATTCATCTCAGGTGGCTGGTGGCGGTGTCAAGTGGCTTGGCAGATCCGGTTGTGGCTGCGACAGGATGGAGAGGAAAGGTGACAAAGAGTCAACCCACAACCACCAGAAAGACATATTTAAAAAATAAAAAATAAATTATGGGTCTACGGCAATAGACCCCATTTGTCCTTTGGAATGGAGATGGGCTGAGATGAGCGGCAAGTCCCACCGGCGATTCCATGCATTCCACTTAGATGCGGTGGGTCTGGGTATGTTTGGAGCCGGAGGGGCTCCGAACTCGGTGGGGAGGCCACCGGAAATGGGTTTGGTGGTTTGAGCTACCCCTGGTTGACCAGCGAAAAATGAACGAAGTAGAATACCAGGGAGGTCAACCTAGCAGGGATTGGGGCTCCAGGTTTTCCGCGTCAGCGAGAAGCAGACTGACCCTTACACCCGCTCTGGAGTGTAAAGTCTGAGGACCCTAAAAAGCGACAAGCGACAATCAGAAAAGATGGTCAAGTGCAAAAGACCATCCATTCAGGATATCTTTGCAACCCGCAGCTCCAGGTGTTGACTCACAGCCCGATTTTTTCGGTTCATGAGTTCCATGGAGTTCCATGGAGGGTTGCAGCATGTAGCTGAACATGTGTCCCACAGGGCTTGGAGAGAAGGTTTCCCTCTCCCTTACCTCCTTTCTCGGCCTGGTGTCCCTGAGATGGAATGAAAAGAGGGACGCTGGGAAGAAATCCACTTCGTTGAATCTCCCTTTGCCGCCTTTCTTTTTTCTTGGGCACTCTCCCTCTCCTGGCAGCTCAGGAAGGGAGTCAAGCACGTTGAGCCGGAACCAAAGAGGAGGAGTTGGTTCTCATGCTGCATGGGTGCATCTTGGCCACATCAGTTTGCTGCAGTTTGACTCCTTTTCTACCGGGTTTCATGGGTCGTTAAGGGCAGCGTCTGCGTAAGTCTGAGTTATCAAAAGGGGGTCATCCCTGGTTTTTCCTTTGTTGGATGCTGGACACCCTGTTTGATCCATGCATATCCATGCCTTAAACACAAAGAATCATTGATGTATATATATATATATACTAAATTATTCTATAACTGCTTGATAAGAATCATTGTTCAAATTGACTCATAAAGAGCGCACATCTATTGACACCTCCAAGCGAGCATTGAGCAGAAGAATTCGCTTGTCTATCTCCTCCTAACACACGCACACACATCAAACATACAGACAGCACCATCAAACGCCCAAAGCAACACCCAAACCGACGGTGCGGACGGACTGAGGGGATGTTTTAAGCAACTTCACTCCGCGAAGGTGGAGCTGAGGCGAGTTTCGACACCGGAACGGTGCAGGGCGCGTTGCGCTGCCGGAGTGAAGGTGGTTCCGGAAGCGGAAGAGCCGAGTAAGGAGTCTCAACATGTCTCAACTACGAAAGAGCCACCATTGTTCCACTAGGCAGTATGCTTGCATGTTTTTGGGCGGGTTCTTTCCCGCAGGGTGGGGGTTTTCCAGGTGACCTTGGGCTCAGTGGCATGGTATGCCGTAGTTTTCGTGACTTTTTGGCCGGAAGTCACCTGAGACCTGTTACAACTCGCTTTGTATTGTTCATGTTTCAATCGCCTCATATCAACAGGACCAGCTGGGCACATCAGACGACCAGCCGCGAGTTGCGCGAGTTGCGCGATGCGATCCCCGTAGCGCGATATGTAGCTTGTTGTGTCCTGCGATGTGTTCCACTCATCAGGAGATCCGGTCACACGAACTCGTGGTGATGGTTTCACTCGTTTTACTTCAAAGATCCCATATATAGATGATCCCATCATCACCACATGCGAAACCGTTCATGTTGCCCCACTTTTTTTGGTGATGAAACCGCTCGCAGCAGACATGGAGTGTTTGTTTTCAGTCTGGTCAGTGTAAGAGGTTGGGACAATTCGAGCCTTGTGATGGTGAGAAGTCCATCCTATTTCAAGACCCGTCCCCTCACAGTAGCAGTACATCCACCGGGCACATCTCAAGAATCTGCTCGCAGACTCGCAGATGAGGTCGCAGGACAGAGGCCGGCTTCTGCCGATCTGCCGAGTGAGCCACAGTTAGAGCCACATCCCGGAACATTTACAGTAAGCAAAGTGCAGCCTGGTAGCCTAGCCTTTTTCGGGCACCTTTGCAAGAAGCTTTAAGAAGCCACGGCCTCTGCGCGCTTAAGGTGGTTCTTGGTTGTGGCTCGACGTCGCCTGTTTTTGGCGAACCAATACGACGCTCCGTGGAATCCTCGTTTCACCGCCTCACGGGACCCCCAACACCTCTTGAGCTGTGGCCGAGACGTGTGGTACGAGCTGTGATGAGCTGTGCAAGGTGGGTATGCCACGGTCCGGATGGATGGAGCTACAGGTCACTTCCGATTGGTGAAGCTGGGCCGTCAGCCAGACTGAGGATTGGGACCCCGGAAAGCCGAACAGCTGCCCCTGCTTCAAAAGGAGGGCCGAGGGCTGTTTGGATGACCGCCGAAGACTCATCCCACGACGACACAGGTTCCTCCTTGGGAGAGTGGTGAAGCAATGCGAAGCGGATCGTTTGAGCGGATGCGTCCAACAACTGGTGACGTGGACATGGTCAAGTTACAAAAATTGGTGCAATGTTACTTTGGATTCAGTGTTATCAAAATTGGTCATTTGATGCAAACAATGTTCCTTTGATTCCTTTGGCCCGATCCTCATGAACTCAGACCTACTCAGGCTTTCAGAGTGAGCCACTGAGAACATCTGAGCAGATGACTAACGAGGCTGAAAGTAAACCCTTTGAAAGCGCTTGAACATAGCACTGAATTGGCCTCCAACTAAACAAAACCTCGCTAAACCCGGTAAGAGATCGCTCTATCGAAGCCGCTTTGCTTTGCTAACATCAAGCGTAATCTCATTGTTAACATGTTTTACCTTCACCCTTGGATTAAATCTTGATTTGATTTTATACTATAATCCTGAGACCCATGGTCTCGTTGGTCAACGGTGGCTTGGGAAACGTCTTCATGCCGAAACTGCGAACAACATCGCTTCACCCAATCTCATGCAGCAAGGAATGTGTGCGTCACGGCGAGTCACGGCTGCCGTCAGCGTCGACCGATGTCGACCGTACTGCGGACTGCTGTCGGCCATCAGGGGAGATCATGAAGGGTCTGACCGTCCAGGATCGATTCATATTGATTCCATTGGATTCCTTGATCGAAGGATGGACTGCTGTAGCAGTCGAGGGTGAGACATACCATTCGCATCCATTTGCCTTGGAGTTATTTTTTTCTCTCCCTCTCTGGTAGGGCCATCCACCATGGCCACCCGTCCCTGTGACGTGCGGCTCGACCGCCCTTTGTCTCTATATAGAATGGTATAGAATGTGCAGTATGATGTTCATACAGGTCCAGCCAGCTCTATCTTGGGTGCTCATTCCTGGGCGTTTTCATATACATCATGGAGTCCTATAGGAATAGAGAGCTCCGTGGACTAGATCACCTGCCTTTTAGAACTTTAGAAGAGCGTTCTAGTGCGACTAGAGCAACGGTGTTTGAGGGAGGTTGAGACAACCGTATCTCAAAGCCTTATGCCGTATTAGGATTCTAACCATCGGTCTAGTAGCCTTTTACCGAACTGTACAATACCCGTTTTCAACCTTTCCATGATCTTGGAAGGCTGAGGCAAGAAGATTCCTTGTTTTGCCATTATGTTGCGTGGCAGTTTGCCGATCAATTCTCCATCGAAAGTTCTCCCGATGCATCGGTGGACAGTTTGGTACGTGGGGGAATATATATATATATATATAATTTTGTATATAATATACTGCCAAAAATGTGGGTAGTTCAACTGGATGTTTTCAGAAAGGAGTGGAACACCCCTATGGCCAGGGCAGACCACCTTTAAATGTCCCAATCCTGTTAAACCTCCACGCGCCCTCACCATGCGGCGTGGTATGCCTGCGCATGCCTGCGTATACGAGGGTCCCTCCTGTGTGGTGTTTGGGGCTGCGGAGGGCAGGGTCAGGGGTTGATTCTCGTTTTTTGGGCTCCGTGGAAGGAACTTCCTGATAGAACTTCCGCTTTTCGCCCCCACAGACCCAGACTTGTGTTGGTCCATGGCATTCCGTCCCACGGTGAGCGGCACCGGGCTTCAGAAATTCTTCCACCGGGCAGTTCCCGAAAGCTAGGCCCATTCGGCATGCAGTCGAGTCTTGGGGGCGTTGGTGGAAGTTCCTTTGCTTCAAGCTAGACCAGGGTTAATGTACCCTGTCATCACGGCTGATGACCCTGCCGATTTCAACGACCCAAAAAGGGTGGAAAGCCGAGTGGAGCGAGGAGAGCGAGGGGAGAAAAGGGGCCGCGGAGGGCCGCCGGGGCGGAGGGCCGTTGGGCCCAGGCGATCGGCACACCGGCCGAGCATCCCATCCCGGCCGGCATTGCCTCGGGCGGAATGGACATGCGATGGAACGTGGTTCACGGCTGAATGAGACCGTGCCCTTCTTTTTGGGCATTTTCTTCTGGACATGAGATCTATGTTTACAAGAGGGATGCATTCCATGTTTGCAGAATATCTCCTGCAATTTTTGGCCTATTGTTGACTTGTGGGGTGTCACTCCATGCCACTCCATGTCACTCCAAGCAATTAAAGTCAATCCGGCCGTTAATAGATTGAGATGTAGGGCCTTCAAGGTGCCATTCACTTCAGAGGACAGAGAGAGAGAGAGGGAACAATCTCTCAGGTATCACCGACGTGGGCACGCGAGGAGCCCAGGGCCATCGACGATCTGAGCTTCGCATGTCGATATGCAGTGACCGCCGTGTGTGACTAGAGCGTTGTACCACGACAACCCATGTGCGCTCAGTAGTGAGTATCAAGCGGTGGCGAGAGGCCCTTCGGTGGATTGAATCGGAGTGAACATATTTTGGCCCAGACCATGGCAACATCCTTTCTGAAAGGCAAGGTCTTGAGTACGCGAAGGGGATGTTTTTCCCATTCAGGGTATTCTGTCGGGACGTCGCGTTGAGGCCCTGAGGGCGCTCCACTGAGCAAATGCTCAAGGTGTGTTGTATACATAAAAAATAATGATATATATAATATATATGATATAAAGCATTAAGCAATATTAATATACATGATATAAATCTCAGGATGTTTGCCAGCCAATGCTTTTATGGAGATAAACGCATGAGAAAACCGATCATCGGGTGGTCTCTCTCTCTCTCTCTCTCGGCCACCCAGCTGACCCGCCGCGACCCGCCGCACCAGACCGATGAACATGGGTTTTTTCGATCGCCAAGAAGTGCGGTGCAAAGCAGCGCAAGAGTTGAGTCGAGGCCCTCTTCCACTTGGGCCGGTACAATGAGGCCAGAGCCATTTATTCCGTGTGGATGAATCCTCTTTCTGGGACAGATTTTTTGTCTTCTCCCGGTGCCTGGACAGCCAGGGGAGTCGAACATCCTGCGGGACCAGAGGGAGGTGTGCTGGTCACATTTGGACTTGACAAAACGACTCAAGACGCCAGAGATGTTGGAGATAAATGACATGAAAAGACACATGGGCAATGATATGAGTCAGGTACTTGGTATGCACCTGTGGTGCATGACTTGGATGTGCCCCCAGACTCGGTTGTCATCCATGAGTCAGTCAAAGATAGCATATGCCTGAGTTGCTGATCGTTTTTGGTGTGCTCGCGGCGCCGTCATGTTGGAAACAAGCGCCGGGATTTTTCAGCATGTTCAGCCCGTCAATCCCTTCCAATGGGGACGACGTACAAAGAACAGTACCGTCGCACACGGGTGTGCACCGAAGGCAGTCCTGGCCATCGAGGAGGGCCTCAAGATGGATCCTGAGGCCTTAAACGCGTGTCTTTTCCGATATCCTGGAGTTTTCCTGGTTTTGAATGTAAGATTGTACGTGGAAATGCGGATTTTCTCCCTGTCAGCCACTCAGCCACTCAAGATCCTGAGTGGCTGAGTGGCTGACACGAAGAAAGCCTGAGTGGCTGAGTGGCTGACAGGAACAACATCCTGAGTGGTTGAGTGGCTGAGTGGTTGACAGGAAATGTCTGAGTGGCTGAGTGGCTGACAGGAGGAAAAGCCTGAGTGGCTGAGTGGCTGACTGGACGAAAAACCTGAGTGGCTCAGTGGCTGACATGAAGAAAAGTCTGAGTGGCTGACAGGAAGAAATGCCTGAGTGGCTGAGTGGCTGGTGTGGAGTAGTCGTCGTAGTAGAAGTAGTTTTGGTAGTAGCTGATCCTTACTTGTAGAATTGGACAGCTGTTCTATTGGAGTCAAAGCCGACGCAAAAACTGAAGTCTGTCTTCTTTGGCTAAAGCACCCCCTCTTTCTCTAACAGTTATAGTTATATGTACACAATTGTTTATCCTTATTTTTCCCAATGCGTACAAAAGCGGGATGTAAATTTTACCCTCCAGAGTTGCAATAACAATAAGCCTGCTATTTCATCAAGACACCCTATTCCTTATACCTTTTTCGAAGACTTATTCTGCACTACGGACGCCCTAGTGCATTTACAGTCCCTGTGATGCCAGAAATCTTTACCCTATTTCCGACCCAATGCGTACAAAAGCGGGGGGTAAGTTTACCCACCAGATTCGCTATAACAATAAACCAGCTATTTCATCAAGACGCTCTGTTCCTTATACATTTTTCGAAGACTTATCCTGCACTACGGAGGGCCTGGTGCATGTACATTCCTGGTGATGCCAGAAATGCTGGCTCCTATTTCCGACCCAATGCATACAAAAGCGGGGGGTAAATTCAATCACCAGGTTTGCAATAACAATAAGCCAGCTAATTATTTCGTCAAGACACCCTATTCCTTATATGCTCGTGCCTAAGTATGCGAGTGGTAGTGGAACAGCAGCAGGATCCTTTTCAGAAACGGATGATTTCCACAGTCATTTCTGTTTTGAATCTTATACCTTGCACCTCTAAACCCGGTTGAGTGCCATGGAAATCCAGCTCGAACCCTGGCTTCCCGTATGGGTACACGAGCTCAACGAGTGCTGCACGGAAACAAACACCTCCGGTGCGCTTCGGCTAGCTTTCGACCTCCTCCTCCTACAGTGGCTATGCTGCTGCCACTGCTACTATGACTACCACTCCTACTACTAATATTGGAACTATTGCTGCTACTACAACAACAACTACTAAACTGCTACTACTGCTACTACTGCTACTTCTACTGCTGCTGCTACTGCTACTGTTACTGCTACTGCTCCTCTTGCTGCTGCTGCTGCTCCTACTCCTACTCCTACTACTCCTACTACTCCTACTACTACTACTACTACGACTACTACGACTACGACTACGACTACGACTACTAGGACTACTACGACTACTACGACTACTACGACTACTACGACTACTACGACGACTACTACGACGACTACTACGACGACGACTACGAAGACGACTACGACGACTACGACGACTACGACTACGACTACGCCTACTGCTACTACCACCTCCACCCAGCCACTCGGCACCAGCCACTCAGCTACTCAGAAATTCCTTCCTGTCAGCCACTCAGGCTTTCCTTCCAATCAGCCACTCAACCACTCACGCTTTTCTTCCTGTCAGCCACTCTGCCACTCAGGCTTGTCTTCCGTCAGCCACTCAGCCACTCAACCACTCAGGATTTTGTTCTTGTCAGCCACTCAGGCTCTCTTCGTGTCAGCCACTCAGCCACTCAGGATCTTGAGTGGCTGAGTGGCTGAGTGGCCGGTCAGGATCTTGAGTCATGAGTGGCAGAGTGGCCGCCGTGAACCGCGATCCGGATTGCACATACTCTCGAATGCAAGGTGCCGGGTTGTGTAGATGGCAAAGTTTTTTGTTCATGGTGTTTGAGGAAATCCCAGTCGTAAGGAAGGAACACCATGCTTGAACTGCTTATGTCATCGGAATGTTCGAGTTTCACACCGTGATGCATGGGAGCTGGGCCAGGAGAAATGCTCGCAATCCCTGGGTGTTCAATAGACTACCCTACACTACTTAGGAATCTCCATTGGACACCCCTTGGATGCTCCTGGCATGTTTCATCATGTTTCACCACACTCCTTGAACGCTACAAACCGGCGCGCCGAACGCACGTTCGTTAGCGGAATTGCAGGACGCCGCGCTGCTCTCAGCGCGCGCGAAGGTGCAGGAGTTCACCGAGCCAGGCGCGCGACCCTTTTTCGGTCCAGCATGATGGAGGGGCAAAGCTGAAAATTCCACTGCAACCATCCTGGAGTATATGACTTACTGTACAATTTCATATGACAGTTTCTGGTTCAAACCATCCTGGAGTAAATATTGAAAATGCATATGAAGATGAACCAATATGAAGAACCAATATGAACCAAACAATTCTTAAACAAAAAGGACTTTCCCATCGGTTTGTCAAATTTCCTTCTATCTACTCCAGCATGACTGTATAGATCGACTTGCAAGCCCCCCCACGGAAATGCCTATTATTGATATTATGGTCCGTGGGGCAAAAACGATGACATCTCGACCCGAAAAACAACTTCACGACTTCTGAGAAGATTGAGTATTCACCTCGTGGCAAGATTGGTTTTCACCGTCAGGATCTACTTCAGTTCCCAAGACTTCTTTGGAAGGACTTGAGCTTGAAGCACCTTAAACTTAAACTAGCTGGACCTTGAGATCGATTCCAAATTCTTCTTCATTTCGAAGACAGCTATGCTGGTCCTTTCGAACGGACATGCGCTCCCTTTCGTCCGCCCCTGCCTCACGACTTCCGTCGCCCCCACCGAGGCGACGACTTCTGGACCCCCAATCTCGCGGGCCCCGCGGCATGTCCGGCGGGTCCGCCCGGTCCGCCCGGTCCGGCGCCCACGGAAGAGAGCACGAAGACGGAGGAGGCGAAGAGGGAGGAGAGGAGTTGCGCTGACCGGTGAAGACTGGACGGTTTTGGAGCTGACCGGTGAAGATGGTGGGTTTCAGGTGCCCCAAAATGGTGGACGTGCCAAGAAGGAAGAAGCAATTATGCTGACCAAGAGGCCTCCACGAAGTCCATGCTTGGTTTTGTCAGATGCCTTCAGGTTTTCAATGGCCTTGTTTTTGGCCACTTTGTAGTGAGTCCACCGAAAAACATTTGTCATATCTCTCTATCTATATCTCTACATATACATTTATCATGATATATCAGATATAATTTATATATCTTTTGAGCCAAATGGCCCCTGCCAACAATTTTTCATCCCTACAGGCTGGAACGCTTGATTTGTATAGGGTTTATGGCCTTGGTAGTGGCTGGTAGTGGCCTTGGTTTATGGCTGTCCTGGACCAACCGAAAGAAACGGTGCGGTCTGCCTGCGTGGCCACACGCGCGCAGACCGCACCACCTCCTCGGGCCAAAAGAGTATGGGAGCTGAGGGGCCGGGTCGATGGTCGGTCGGGTGGTCGATGGGTTTGAGGCTTGAGGGGTTCGACACCAGAATCCATTTTCAGAACCCTGTCCGAACTTACCTGTAACAGTCGGTAAACAAGCAAATCGCTATATATTTTAGACAAAGGCCTAGAACCTAACCATCATGATCCACTGGGAATAGGATCGGCCGAGCCAACATTTTCATGTGGATTCGTGAAGAATAAAACATCATTAAAACACGGACAACACCCTCAGAAAAAGACCACTGACTGGGATGGCTCATGTCTTTTGACAAGCAACTGGCCTTGCTGTTGAATTGTTGGGTGCTTGGGAAAGACCACGGGCCGAGAATACGTAGAAGTGCAGATGTAGGCTTTGGTGAGATGAGGGTGTCCTACCTACCATACAGTCCCGACTCTCACCCACCATCCAACTTCTAGTTTGTCTTGGCTTTTGATTGGATGACCTGAATTTCCTGGCAGATGATGGCAGATGGCATATCATAGGGCCCTGTTGATACACCGCTTGTAGTGAGACAGGGCACCAGCTTGGATTCGAGCACCTCCGAAGGCCTCCTGGACCTGTTTAGCCTTTGTTGGGGTCTGGAGGAGGGGGAAGAGACGCACCACGTACGACCATGTATCCATTGGCTCCACTTTGTCACCCAGCGGGCGGCTACTTTGCTCCATTTCCAGTTTAGGCTTGGCAGAAGAGCTGCCGCCCTGGTTTGCGTGCAGTCCCTCAAGAACCAGTCCTATGAACTCTTAGAAACTCTCCACGTCAGTCAAGGGAGCCTGAAATAAAGCCAAGTGACGGATCTTTGCCTTTTTGCAAGTATTTTTGCCTCGAGCCTTATCAGGAGCTGGTCGCAGATCACAGAGATTTGCCTCATCTTGCGACTGTAGCTGTCTGGATTCCATCATCTTTTCAACTCCTCCGCCTTTGCGTGGTTTTATCAACCTTCCTCCCTGGCTTGCTTCACGTATCTTCACATTCGACCCCCACCCGGGTCGACTGAACGCCATGGCGATGGCCGTGGCATTGCCCCCGGCGCATGTGCCGATTGTGCTGCCCGTGCCGCCCGGCGCGGTGAAGGTGATGCCACGCTGGGCGGAAGAGGTGCGGAAATTGTCGTGTTGTTTGTCACATGGTGAAAGACCTGTTTTCCTTAGGGGCGAGGTGAAGGACCTGTTTTTTTTTCCTCCTTGTTGTGCTGAGAAATTGAGAAAAGAAGCGAAGATGGAGGATGAGCCACCCCGGGTGATTTTTACACCCAAAGATTGGGCCTCGGAAGGCCCGAACTATCCAGAACTGCTTCGAAACCACTGATTCCACCCCGGTGTCAGGACGAGGTCTCGAAGTGGCGGGTGAAGTACCGGCTAAACAACGAGAAAGCCGCGGAGGATCCGGACAGCCGCTCGGCCCACACCGGTCCGAAGTGCGGTCCGACCGGACCTGTCAGACCTCGTCGGACCGGGCATGCGTGGGTGACCGCCCAAGGATCGACTTCGCTTCGGCTTAGAGCGGTGTTTGTCCAACGACTCTTTGTTGGCTCTTTGCTTTTTGGCTGTGTCTGCGGAGTGTGGAATGTCGGGAGCATGCTCCACCGCTAGGCCGAATCTGATTTCCTTTCCGCACTCTTTTGGCCTCGGGCTGCCCCTCTCGCCGAATGAATGGAGACGGTGTGATTTCCTCATGAGCATCTTGTGGGCTCGTTTCTCCTGTTCGGCCTTCGTTGTCTTAAATCAAGGCTTCCTGGCCCACCATTGATTTGATAGCCTGAATCCCGAACAACCATTGTTTGACTAAGGATTTTACGCTACAAAACCAGGTCCACCTTTCTTTTAAGATCTTTTAAGGATCTTGGAAGGCTAGGGCTTTCCATCCCTGCTAAAGAAAGGCGGCCGCTCTGAAGTTCGGGGACGAGGCCTTGGGAGGCCTTGTTTTCGATGGAAACGGGCCTTCAAGAAACCGTTTTAGGGTCCTCTGGATTCTGGAGGATAAGTTTCTTTAATCTTTTGTTCATTCATGTGTGAGGTGCGATCATGTGTTGGCAGTTTGATCTCAAGGAACTCCCTTGACCACACAGCTTTGGGCTGCTACCTAGGGTCCCCTCCACAAAACACTCATCTAGGCAAACAAGGATCCGGAATGAGGACCCGTTTGGCCCCGTTTTCCGTGTGGTGCTTGGATCGGCAGAGCGCGCCCGCGCGGTGAGGTGAGTGGATCGAGTTGGAGTTGAGGCACTTCACCCGCGAGCTGCCTTTGTCTAACCTGCCCCCAGGCACCCAGCGATATGGGAGCATGCGCCGGCATGTGTTTGTGTGTGTGTGTGTGTGTCAACCCCTGTGCCTAAGGGTTTGGATTCACCTCATGCAGGGGAACTGGGCACTCTGTGACTGACCCAGTTCAACGAAGCTAGGTCACAGAGTGGGATATTCGGACTGATCATCCGAACGTACCTGCGAAGTTCTTCACACGCTGTCACCCCACTTCTCCACGGTTTGTTTCATGGTTCTTCATGATACCTCCCACAAACCCACCGCCACCTTGCGCCGCTTTGCAGCCAACTTTGAGTGTCAGATCGTTTTCGAGTGCAGCTGCCAACATTGTTCAACAATACGGTTTTTGCGGACTCATGCACCTTTCCGTTCCCCCACCTTCCTTCCCAACGTGGGAACTGAGTGTAACTGAAAACCCATGTCAGAGTGTGTCTCGCTCAGCCGTCCCGCTCTGGTGCTGAGTGTGATCCTCCGCAAGGAGGCGCCGTTTCATTGGGAAATCACTACCGGAACTCACCACCGCTCACCGGAATCCACTGGAATTCACCTCCACTCCCACCGAATTAACTGCCTCAACGGCCGCCGGGCCCAAACACGGGATTCCATAGCCGCCGGGCTTTAAAACGGTACTTTACCCGCAGTCAGGCAGGTTTCCCAACCCCCCCCCCCAGCCGAGTTCTACTCCCCACCTAATTAGGGCAACATAGGGAAATGGTACTCGACACACTTGTGTGTCGGTGCCTTTCCCTGTGTTGTTCCTGTTCTAGTCTTCTCTACCCGGGCGGTCTAAGACTAAAGTCCCGCTCCCTAACTACTGCACTTAATTATTTTCGACTAAGTAATCAGTAACTCTAGAGTGCTAGGTAGTCAGACACACACATGTACACACACACATGAACATACATCCCCTCCCTGCCCCCCAACTTTTCTTCTTGCGCTTTCCGTCGTTTGTTGGGCTTTCTCTCAGGCTTTTTAGGTTGCTCTTCAGGAGTCAAGGGCTAAGTATTCACTTTTTTCTACACCTATCTTTCTTTCTTGCCCTCTTAGCGCTGCTCTTTCTGTCTTTCCTTTCTTGTGTTTCTAAGGCTTTTTAGGTGACTATCTTACGTTTTATGCCAGAGAGCCGCAAAGCGGCGGAGTGTGTGTGTCACACTCTGTACCTAGGCGCCGATCACGGCGATCTGTGTGTGTCAACCCCTGTGCCTAAGGGTTTGGATTCACCTCATGCAGGGGAACTGGGCAGTCTGTGACTGACCCAGTTCAACGAAGCTAGGTCACAGAGTGGGATATTCGGACTGATCATCCGAACGTGCCTGCGAAGTTCTTCACACGCTGCCACCCCACTTCTCCACGGTTTGTTTCATGGTTCTTCATGATACCTCCCACAAACCCACCGCCACCTTGCGCCGCTTTGCAGCCGACTTTGAGTGTCAGATCGTTTTCGAGTGCAGCTGCCAACATTGTTCAACAATACGGTTTTTGCGGACTCATGCACCTTTCCGTTCCCCCACCTTCCTTCCCAACGTGGGAACTGAGTGTGGCACTGTGTGCTAGGAAGTGAGGTGTTTGATGCTTTACGAGGATGGAAGAGTCCAAAAGGTGTGGGTCCATCCACGATTGGATTGCTCATGCCGACTTGACCACTCTTGGGATGATCAGATGCGCTGCAACAATCATAGAAACCGAACAGACCCAGTTCATGGATCTTCATACTACAGAAGTTGTATGAAGTTGTATGAAGTTGTATGAACCATATAAGCTATACGTTATACGTATTTCATTGATATTCATATATAAGATAATACAGCTGGGCTTTTGCCCTAGCAGTTCTATGCCCGAATCACCGAAGCTTCCCGGTCGCATGTCCGAGGCGTGCATCACTTTCGCGTGGCCATCGAAACGCCGGATGGATGGTCGGACTGGAGTCCACCAGCAGCTGGGACCTGGGACCAGTCCGTTTTGGTCTTGCACGCGCCTATTAAAACACGCGCCTTTACACGAACGAACACACCGCCTCCTTTTCTGGTTTGTAATTGGTTTAAATTTTTTGGTGTTCTTTTTGCAAAGCAACGCGCAATATCCAGAATTGGTGGGTGGCATTGTGTGGTCCGGAGAGAGAACGGTGAGGAACGAGGGGACGGAACATGGACCAACCCGCCATAAATGATGCTACCACGAAAACCTTGTCATCAACTATGGACTGTGAGCTCTTTCATGGGCAAGAAAGCGCATGGACATGCTCACAGGTGGTTTCACCAAAGGATTGAGTGGTTCATTAGGATTCATTAAGCCCTCCCAGTTCAATCCATTTCAAGAGGGTGATTTGTGTCCAGAGTTTTCCCAGTACGGTATAGTGTGTATTTTGTTGGCAACCGGGAATTCAGAAACTAACCCCCAGGAAAAGATCACAGCACGCCTCACACACATACACACTCATGCAGGTGTAGCATAGCCACTCCATGCTCTTCGCGCCCGTCGTGTTCCCCCCCAAAAATAGGTCCGGTCAGAACTGCACGAGGAACTCAAGAGCATTGACATCCCCCAAGTTCCCCTTCAGCTGGCGCGACGAAAACAAAACACATCCGGAGAATCCGGAGACTGGTGGGAAGGAACTGAACAGCTCTGTCATCCAATGAACATGGATCTCGAATGACACCAGTTTGGAGGGCCTGTCAACCAGTTTGGAGGGCTGTGACCCGGGAGGATGCTTTTGAGTTGATCCTCCGACACGTGAACTGCATTTTGGACTTTTACCAAAAATTCATGCGGCCGGGTGACAAAATCATCCTCATGCCATATCACATGCCATGCCACCTTTGGAGTAACATCCGGGCCAGCCGCATTGTCCCCGTCACCCTCCGCTTCGTCGACTTCGTCGACTTGCGAAGATCCACTCCAGGTGGAATGCGAGCCTCCGCCGCCTCAGGTGCGGATGAAGCGTGTTTCGATATCTGGGGGATCTCATCTCCAAAAGGGATTCATAAGGTTTTAAACATGTTTTAACGCTGAACCCGGAGCGGAGATGGAGAACCCCCATGAAGATGGATGTATGACCTGGATGGTGATTCAAAGCTGCGTTTGATGGAATTTGGCATCATTGTTAGGTCCCACCTTTTGGTGGGGGGAGGCACTAGACGAGTCAGCCCTATGCTGTTTCATGTTCTGCATGAAACTCTAGTCTATGTTTATGTTTAGGTCAGCCATCCGCCAGGATAACGAAGACCATGTCATACAGAGACCCTTGAGACCTACGGGGTGATTGTGGGGCCGTTTAGGCCAAACAGAATTCACCTGGTGACATCGCAGTTTGGACAACCCCACATCATCACATTAGCATACGCAACACTATTGAGCCGGTATATAAAAATATTAGTACTATACAATACCATATTTATTAGCTACAAATTAGTGTGTTCAAGTTTGAAGAGCCCCACACCCAAACAAGAACATGCCATGGAATGGGAAGACCATTGCCTGGTGTTTAGGGACCTTTAGGTAGTGCAAGCAGGTGCCACCTAGTAATAATCTATGTTCGCCAGTCCTATTACGTCTGACCCCCGCACCAACAAGTCTCACAGGGTTTGGGTGCCCAAACAATCGCCCATTCATCTCCGAACATCGCCGTTTGGCTTGCAGCCTGAAGATCTTCGGCTGGTCACTTATGGAGTTTGTCATAAGTTATCAAGTTCTCCTGGGTGAATCCGCAGGTTACCGCTTTTTGCTTAGACCTTAAGCTTCGTCCTCGGATCTTGCTCGGTCCTCGTGCCCAAAGACCGCAGTGACAGGATGTGGGTTCATGTTCCGAGCACTTCAACTTGACTGGTGACCAGGGCAGCTCCCCCCAAAGCCATCAAAGATGCGGACTCAAGCAGGATTCGTATTTGGACATGCGCGGATTCCAGCCACTTAGCAGACAATGACAATGAGTGAAGTGAAGTTTTCTGATCCCAACAATGCGACCAGCAAAGATGGCCGGCCCTTGTTGTGCGAGGTACTGAAAACAGCATCAAGATACCAAACGTTCCATGCCGGGGTGACGATTGGACGGTGGGGGTGCCGATATCAACGGACTATTCCGTGCACTGACATGGACAACCTCCAAGACCATTCCTTTGGAACTGCTGGAGTAAGGCCTTGGCTATAGTTGCTCAACTGAACTCATTCCCACAGAAGCCTTCCACGGCATTCCTCCTCGCTATAGTTTCTGCTCATGACAAAGCGGAAGCTCGACGACGACGACGGCCAATCCGCCCCTGCGGAGGATCCTACGTGGCTTGGTAATTCGAAAGCACGGGGGTGGGGTGCTCCTCCAAAAGGAGTGCCTTTGTCATGGAGTCCCATGAAAGGGAGCAGATTGAGGCTGCGGCTACCAGTTGTTTCCTTGTGATTGTCAGACCTCCAACCAAACCAACCAGATGGACCAATGGGTCTGCACTTGCTTCCTGTTTACTTGGTAATTTTAGCTTTTCGGGACCAGGGCCGAGGCAAAGATGATGTTGCAAGATGGTCGACTTCACAGACTCACCGTGACTCACCCAAATCCGACTGGGTCACCGTGACTGGGTCACCGCCATCCACCCATCAAAACCACTCGGATCCGGGCTCGGCGGGTCTCCCCAAGGGGGCGGCCTCCCTTGGTCTTCCACCTGGACGCCACCTGCGGACGCGCGCGCGCCAGCACCGTGACGCTGCCGCATGGCGACGTGCTCACGCCGGTCTTCATGCCGGTGGGAACGCAGGGGACCATCAAAGGCGGGGGAGAGGTGGACTGATTCATCAACAGAAGTATACAGAAGCAAGAACCATGACTGGTAATTGATAACCATTATGTAGGACTTCTGTGGATTGGTGGAAGAAGTTCTTACAGTTCTGAGCAATGGTTATCTTTGATCACATCGTGCAGCACTTGGTTGTATCAACGGCCATGTGTCCGTTCCGAGAGGCATGTCGTCAGAAGACATGAAGACCCTGGGCTGCCGGATTTTGCTCGGAAACACCTTTCATTTGGCCAACCGACCGACGTGTGAGCTCTTGCGGACATGCGGCGGCTTGCACAAGCTGATGCAGTGGGATGGGATGCTTGACCAAACGAAGCGTGAGAAAAGCTTTTTTTCCACAATCTACTGTATACGGTATACACTACAATAATCCAAGCATGTCCATACTGAGACAACAATGAACTAGCACACAAGCCCTCATCATCCCTGATATGTGCTGATGATTTTTAAGTTTAGCAGCAAACTGCAGTGAACCAGATCCACCAGACAGGCTTGGGACCAGAATTTCTCGAGTGGTTGATGTTTCTGCAGTCAGCGTGTTAATCTGTGAATCACCTCATGCCGCATTTCATCCTTCGTTTTCGCGTGGAAGCACCGTCCCCTCGTCACACCCGAATCAAGCATTGGTGGAATGGGCCACGGGGCCACTGGATCCGAGCTCCCAGGAACATCTTGACCGACAGCGGTGGCTTTCAGATGGTCTCCTTGCTGAAACTGGCAGCGCCTGGGCGAGACACGAGACACCAGAGTTGATGATGGGGTTGACCGGAGTGTTGTTTATTAGTTGTTGCTTCTGTGCGGGATTGACCGGAAGCAGCAGAGAGGAGAAGGGTACCGTAGCATGCTCAAGAAGAGCCATGAACTGAGCCATGATCAGGTCGTGGTGGCGTAACTTGGAATCCTTTGAATGGGGGTCAGTGCAAGCCGTGCAAGTCGTGCCCACTCTCAGAAAGCAGTTCCTCATAGCTAGATTGATGTCCACTTTGCTAGGCTTTGGGCTTTCGGACCAGTGGTTGATTGTCGCTTGACATGGGGTGGAACATGGAACATGGCAATACTTGCACAACTAACTCGAACACATCTACTGCCCAGGGATAGAGCAGAGAGTGAACGATGAGATTGGGGTCAGTATAGTTGTTTTGCATTTCCTGTTCTCGGGAAACCTTTCATTGTAACAATCAGAAACACCGGCTTCATGACATGGCGTTCCCCCCGAGACAAATGTCTAGGATCACAAGTTGAATCGTGGAGTAGAATTCGGGTATTTCTGAGGCCTCACAACCTACGTGCAAACTTCCTAATTATAGCTATAGTATATTTCGTATTTTATCAGACTGCGAGCGACTGCGGCGAGTGAGGTGATTACCGAGGCGGGTGTGGAATTCGAAGATCCCAAGAGCCCCGGTAGCCGGATGCTGCTGACGCCGGAGAAGTCCATCGAGTCGCAGAACGACATCGGTGGGGAGCTGACAGCACGCGGACGCGGGCAGAGAGCTGACCACGGCGATGGTTGGGGGGGGGTGGTGTTGGGTTGGGGTTGGACACTCCTCCGCACACAGACAGGGGGTAAGTTCGATATTATTATAGTAAACATATTGTAATGTAATTATGTATAAAACTATACTGTAGATAGAGAGAGCCTTCAAGACTCGTTGTTTGTGCAATCAGCATGGGAGCATCAAGAAGGGGCCAAGCTGGGGCGTGCCAAGCATCCTCGTGCGCTTGGCGGGGATCTCACAGACAGATGACTGGACAAGGGTCTGTGGGATTTACTGGGTCTCGGAGGGCGCCTAGATATTTGGCATTATTTGGCTACTAAGGCTGGCAGAAGGATGTGATGTTAGTTGATTTATAGTGAGTTGAGTGTGTGAATGGTGCAGTGGTCTTCTTATGGTCCGGGTGATTCTTCAACGAGGTTTTGTCATGCCGCAATGCTCAGCAGGGGGCCTTACCAGGCTGAACTGCTCTGACTCCCAGCAGGTGCAGACATCATGATGGCCCTTGATGACGTGGCCTTTTGGCTGGAAACTGGCCTCCGACGAATGCACGACATGGACCTGTTCCTAAAGCAAGAACGTACGACGAATTCCACGGACTACATAACTTCCACTTCCATGTTTCTGAGTTAAAGTGTATGGCTTGGATTTGTTCTACTGGTAGCTTTGTTGCAGGAGGTTGCACGCAGCCCCAATCGTGGTGCATGTGGATTCCGATCTAAAATGGTTTGGGAGGTTGGTGCCATGCCATGTCCAAGCGGCTTTGGCATTGAAAGTATAGTATATAAACTAGGGCGTTTGAGATTTTGCCACTATTTTGGTCGACTTTGGTGTTGGCCCCAAACTTTCAACATGTTTCAACCCTTGGGCTAAGGGGCTTGTCGCGTTTTCTCACGGGGTGTAAACCATGCGTTGAACTTTAAGCAGAAAGCCAAATTGGTGAGTTCTTGGCTCCTTTGCTTGAACCACCTTGAACCACACTGAGGACATGGGCAGTGGAAAACTGTTCCATTGTTGGCATTCAATCAGACATTGGAGAGGGAAACAATAATAGTCATACTGTACCCCATAGTACCATATAGTGCCCTTTGGTCATGCCATCATCCCCAGCGTGCCAAGAACCATCAAGCCTCATGCATTTGCAGTTTGGGCCCACTCCTTTTCTCTTTCCCCATTTTGCCATTTTGCCCCGAATTTGGGCAACCCATCCGGATCGGCGGGCGTTTTCGCACGAAAACCGCTCATCTCGACCTGGCGTTCTCTTTCTCACCTACGCCCCGCGTCGCCCAGGTGTCCTCGACCCTGGACCCCGTGAAGGACGCCGCGCGGATCCGCGAAGCCACGGATCGCACCCTCCGCTGGATCGATCGCTGCATCGGGGCGCATCGGAACCCGCAGCGGCAGAGCCGCGGCGGAGAGCGGAGAGCAGAGCGGGTTGGAGCCGAAATCCGGAATAGGCAACAGTGAGCATCTGGGGGTGCAAGTAGTATGTAATTATAGCATATATGTGTATGTAGTTGTGTAAGGAACCCTCAAAACTGGATGGCACCATGTTTTGACCGAATACCAAGACAAGCAAAATGCCAGAACTTCTTGCATCACTGGCCTGTCTCCTGGACTGCTTCTCAGGAATCTCTTCGGCATCGTGCAAG